TCGCTACCAGAAACTGTAACTAAGGTCTGCTCAGTATAGTTGCAGTATAAACCATGTGGGTGTTGAACAAACACAGATGTGCCTGAGCAGGCATCTGCAATAGTGATTGGCTAGCTGCCCTAGCAAATAGGAATACTTGGATATGTGTGATCAGCAATTACTAATACAAGAAAAAGTTAGAAAAAAAAAAAAAAAAATCTACAAATATATATCGTGTATCATGCAAATATTTTTATAAAACAAACTCAAGATAGTTTAGATATTTAATTTAGAACCTGGTGAAATAGAAAACAAGGAAACAGAAGTGAGAAGTTGAAAATAGCATTTCATATCCTGTTTTATTTACTTTTAAAAAAATTGGAACTTTATCAAAGTTTAATCTTTGTGCCTGCAAAAAAAAAAAAAAAAAAAAAAACACTATGTCAAAAAGTTTTCCTTTGACATCACTATTACTGTATGCTACTTTGACAATCTTTGTTTTAACAAGCTATTAGAATCACTGGCATTTATGTCAAATCCATAGTCATTCATTACCAGGAATCATTATATAAAGCTTAGTTCCAGAAGATCTATCTTCTAAGTGTTGCCTCTGCATTGCTTTAAAAAATTTTTTATACTTACCAATGCACAAATATGTGAGGCCTCATTTTAGATTAAAGACATGCTGAATTTCTTTGTAGAGGAAGAAGAGATCAATCATATTCTTTTAACTAACTTTCCTCTATCATATGAATTTAAGTGCAATACTAGATTGGCAGAAAGGTCCCATTATTTTAAGGTTCTTCTCTCAGTCTTCGCTTGTGGACTTTCTTCTGACTTTCCAGTCAACTTTGATCTTCAAAAATTCAAATGCAATGTCAATTGTTATCTTGTCTTCTTATTCTTTTATTGTTCTCTCTCAATGTTTTTTTTTTTTTTTCATCTCATTCTCTTACATTCAGTAATCCCTTGCATCTTAGTGGTTTTATTCACTTGCTTGGGATGAAGTGATTAGGAAAAAAAAAAAAAACAAAAAAAAAACAAAGGCCAGTTTCACTCAAATTAATACTAGTTTACTCACACCAAGTCTAACGTTTATAACAGTTTTCACACGAATCTTTAATTATATTTTCTAATTGTTATTGTTCTATTTTACAGACAGTTCGTCTCATTTTATCTCCTTTTGTAAATATCTTAGAACAGTGTCATCGTCATAAAGACTACACCGTAGTATCACTCATGTAAGGGAGATAACTGATAAACCAAACCATAAGAATATCGTATATAAAACCACTAGTTAAAATTCTGTTTCACTACATATAAAAACCAGGGTACTGTCTCCTACTCCAATTCCATAAACCAATGTCCCCTTTCACCACTCAAGAAAATTTAGATCCTCCTAGGTTTGTTTGCTGCAAAGCTATGCTTAGCATGTTAATCTAGCAAGCAGCTGATCATGAATTTGATTCTCATCAAGTGGCTCATAAATGTGGCCTTGTACCAGAATTATTTACTTTTTGAACAGTTTTAAAAAAAAAAAAAAAAAAAAAAAATTTAGCTTTGGGAGGTAAAAAAAAAAAAAAAATCAATGCAAAAATAAAAATACAAACACAAAAATCCAGAAGCAAGTTCTTTTTATTTATTAAGATGTTTTCAAATGAAAACCAAGTTTTTTTTTTTCCTTAAAAAAGAACCCCCCCCCCCGCCATTCCTATGCATTTTCAAAAGATGATGTCTTTACACTGAGGAATCACACTGGGATGGTGTGGGAAAATGATCTATAAATTTTTATGTATCAGAACAATTTTTGAAAAAAAAAAAAAAAAAAAAAGTGGGAAAAGTTTTTCATGTGTTGTATTTTATCCTATAGGATTTCATTGGACTAAAGTGAGGTTTACTTTGATGTGATTACACATGTGCATGAAGGAGAGGGGCTGTTGAAACTAAGATGAAAATGTATAGAAAGTGCTTTAATTGCTAGATCACACACAGTAAATTTATGTCCAAATTCTTACAGTCCAAATTCTTGGCTGATCTTCAATTATCACAATATATTTAATAATAAACGTGATAAAAACAACAAAAAAGAAACTAAATGAAATTGGCTCAACTATATACCCAAGCACATATTAAAAAAAAACAACAAAAAAACTCGATTTTAAATTTACATTTTGTTTCTCATCAATGTATATATCCTAAAAGATGAAACACATCACACAAAAAAATTTTTCCCAATGGGATGGCGTGTAGACACAAAAGAATCAGTCAGAAACCAGATCTATAAACGCAAAATGACACAAAAAACACCAAAGAAAAACAAAGAAAAGAAAGCCCAGTTTGTAGATGAAGAGTCCAGGAAGGATTTCTTAGTCAATCCATTTCCAAAGCACTTTAACAAACCCCTCAATCCCTGCACAAGACAATGTTGTTATTTTGCCTACCAACCAGTTCACACTTGTTCCTGGTCTTTTGGACATGAGGAGAGGTTTATCTCATTTCCTGTTCCTTCTAAATTCTCATAATTCTGCTAAGAAATTTTTTTTTTTTTAGTTAACTCCACCTGATTTATGGGACTGGCTTATAGTCTACCTTATAATTGAGGTGAAAGCAATAAAAGCTTATGGCTGAAATGTTACTCCGTCCCATGAAATAAACGGGTCTCTTCTTAATGCATGTTTAGGTTATTGTGGTAATGAGCAAAACAAAGGTTAGAGGACAAGACAACATAGAAATTCATTAGAAATGTTACCACCAGTGCAGTTGTTCTGTTGCCTTCAAAATGGATGCCATGACTATAATAAGGGAGAAGCCTATTAGGTTAAAGGAAGTAGTGGTTAAAAGAAGTAACTTAGCTAATGCTCTCACTCACATATGTATATCAAGACAAATGTGAGTAAAAAGAAAAAAAAAATCTTTTTCTAAAAAAATGTGAAAATTACTAGAATTTAACACTTTTCTTCAGGCTAGCAAATCTTTCTGCCAAAAGTTCTCAATAGATAAACAGATAGGATATTCAATAAATTAAGAAAAGTTAAACATTTAGTCACTTGAACTTTTCTTGCTGTATTGTGTGTGTGTGTGTGTGTGTGTGTGTGTGTGAATGAGGATAGATCAATAAGTTCATAGGCTTACATAGTTATCTGAATTTTTTACTGTACAAGGACATATCAAAATCAAACATCCTCCTTCCCTCCATTTTCCATCTTATGAAGCATCAAATGCCATACAGTGCCTAACACATCTTTATTTTTTCTTTTCAGAATTGATAGACTTACTCTATAGAGAATGAAGGTCGATAGAAGATTTTTTTTAAGGGGCAGAATAAAGAGAAGTCTTTCCTGATGGAGGGTCAGTGAAATTTTTTTTTTTTTTTTTTTTTTAAATGGGCAAAATTGATGGACAATCAGAAAGAAGACTCATCACAGAATTACAGAAAACCATAATATCCTTCTTGCTACAATAAATAGGGCTCATCAGTCAGTTTAGAAATGAAGGAAAAGAATATTTATCACCACATTCTGAGTGACATGGGCTCTCAGAGAAGTAGCTCTCCACTGTTTAGTGGTCTGTGAAAAACAACTCAAGAGAGAAAGCTTCCAACATAGCAGCAGTAATTGATAGGAGTTAAAGAATTGGCAATCAGGGAAGGGATGCTAAACACAAACCTTTGCTCACCTCAGCCAACATTAAGAAAAGAAAAGTATGGCCGAATAGCATGTTAAAGAAGAGTCAAACTTTTGGCAAAGTGTAATCTTCTGGGACAACTCATCTTTGACTCAATTCTATATCAGTGGATGTTAAAAATGTCACAAATTGAAAATTAAGAAAAATTTAAGTGAGAAAAGTTGATTGACCAGCAAGAAAAATATTTGAAAATGTAGCTAGAGTTTTACGTGAGAGTCTATCACTCATCTTAGGCATAATGAAAATATCTGGGCCTTATAAAACAGATCACAGCATAAAAAAAGGTAGGGGGCACTGCTTCCTGTGGCAAATTGCTTCAACTTCTACAAAAATTCTCCAGTCAAAGAGAACATTTTTTTTATCATTTGACACCAAGCGGCAATAAAGCCACGATAACATAAGGGGTTATTGAGTGTGAGAGAACATGAAAGTAGAAAAAAAAAAAAAAAAAAAAAACCACTGTTAAGGAACGAGAATAATGAACAAGAATTAAGAAGACAGAAGATAACAGTCGACATTGTATTTAAATTTTTGAAGATCAATGCTAACTGGAAAGCAAGAGGTCAGAAAAGATTTTCAAAAGTGAGAAGTGCAAGAGAAAATACTCTTAGCATATAACTTATGATTACATCTAGCCATTTCAACTGTAAAATGATGAGACATTGCTGCCAATCTAGTACTGCACTTAAATTCATAAAAGTCTAGGTACCATAGAGGAAGGTTCAGAAAAATTACGAAAGTATTTATAGAAAAGGCACAGGGAAGGTAACTGAAACTGAGATGCCAGGTCAGGACCAATAACATTGCAGATTACTCTTTGTATATTATGAAGAATCTCTAGATAAATCCAGACCAGATGTGGCAGCAATATTCAAAGCAAGGACGAATGGTAGACTTATAAAGATGTAAGATAGACTTCTATTCCTAACAGAGTGAAGAAGCTCAATGATACTAAGGGGAGCCTCTACTAAGTATTAATGGATGCATTTCTTTGACAAACAACGTTACCCCCAAACTCAAGTCTGCTAATTATCCAGAGTTCCAAAATTTGGCAGGTAGGTTTTATTTTTGATATGACTGTATAATGTTCATCCTAGGTGATAAATATTTACCAATGAAATAAGTGCATTAACAAAAAAAAACAAACAAACATATACTGTTGTGTAAAATAAATGAATTTCTCTCCCCCACCCTCACCACCACACATACTTACCTTATAGACTTATTGATATACTGACATACATTCAGAGGCAAGAAAGCTCAGGAGACCAATTACAAAGAAATTTTTCAAGACATTAACAGATTTACCCCCTCCCATCAGCTCAAATGCCGCCATATCACATTTCCTTCTTTATAACTTGCTGTACTTGTTGCAAGGAACTTGACTGTGTGTTGAGGGAGGGTTGGGTTGGCGTTTGCACAGTACCTGTTTGTGGTGGCTGAGAGCTGACAGGACACCCAGGTCCTACTGCCCCAGCACCTGACTGACCCCCAGTACCACCTAGCCCAACTGTGCCACCAGCACCAGTCTGTTGTTGCTGCTGTTGCTGTTGTGATGTGGCAAGGTCAGCCTGTGCTTGCAAAAGAGCCATGCGTTTGCGTTGATAGTGCTGCCAATGCAACAGTTGTTGGTCTTCAATAAATTTGGCACATTGTAAGTTTACCAATTCCTTACGGAAATGTTCATACTGCAGCAATTCAAGGAAGTGTAGGCACTGCGGATATCTGCAGAGAAAAAAGAAAAAGACATCAAAATATCTTCCAAATGTTTTTGTATTTTCAGATATTTTGTTTTTTTTTCAGAAAATAGGAGAACATGATTAACTTCTTTTTGTGATGTCAACGAATACGCGTCACTTTTGTGATGCTTGTTGTAATAGAGACTTTGTAATCACAGATATAACTATAGTACATCATTGAACAATACTGGTGTCAGACGCCTTCAAATAGCACTTGCACTAATAGTACTTACTTGATAATACTTGCTCGAGTAGTAATCCAAATAGAGAAATAGTATAGTGAATAGAATAGAGAATAGCAGTCCAAATAGTAATAGAGGATAGACTAGAAATGACAATCAATTAGATGTCATGTGACTTCCTACTTATGCATTTCCTCTATGGTCACGCGGTCAATTCAATAATGGGATCATCTGTGTTTGCTCACTGGTGATCTGTGTTCTAACTAAAGTGTCAGCAGCAACATTTTATTCCTATATAACATCATCAATTGCGTTTTCACTGGAGATAAGGGGATATCATCAACTAATGAAGAAAACGTTTTCCAATGATACAGTTATTATTCAGTCATGACTAAAGTGTAAATGACTAATCAGTAACTCAAGGATTCATGAGGTTATAATTTACCTGGATTCATTCATTTCCTAGAGTATTTGCTTGCAAATAAAACTGGAAGCACAAACCAAAGATAGTGTAATGTCTGCATGCATACTTTTCAAAGAGAAAAAAAAAAAGGTAAAAGATAGTGAGAATTTGGTGCAAAGAATGCATAACTCGATGTGTATAGAATGTTTAAAGTGGTATATGTTAAAAAGAAATTAAATTTAGAAACCTAATGTTTTATTTCTTATTTTTTTTTATTTTTATAATCTAAAAGGAAAAAAAAAAGAGAAAAAGCTAAAAAAGTGTAAAGTAAAAAAAAAAAAAAAAAAAAAAAAAATGACAAAATTACAATACCATACATGCATGTACACCTGCAGAGAGAGGTGCATAGCTGCATGTATGCAAACACAAACAATGCAGAAAAACTTACACAATAAGTGATATATATATATATATATATATATATATATATATATATAAAATATAAGCAGTAAATTGCTGATACCCCCAGAAAAGTGGATGGACATGTCTGCTTATGAAACTCTGGAATCGGGATGCTGAAGGCAGCATCAATCAGCTAAGTGGCAAACTCTTACTTAGCTTAATTTACTAAATAAATGGAGTGTCTACAGGGAAAAACTTTTCAGTTTATGCAAATTTAACTGAGAAAAGAGTAACTCAAACTCAGCAAAAATTTGTTCCTTACTCACTTTGGTAGAAGGGATGCATGACTGAACACAAAATTAAATGCTTCGAGACCACAGTAGTTTTTCATCCTGCCCTGTGTCCCATATGTTTGAAATTGCCTTCGCTGGGCAGAAAAAGTCAGATACTAACCAACAGATTGGTGGCTTGTGTCACATTAGTTTTTTTGGCAGTGAAGTTACGCATTGTCTTCAGGACTAGTCTGTTTTTTTCCCATTTGTCAAAATGGTTCTATTGTCTATAAATTTAAATGTCAGTGTGAAGCTGACTATGTAGGATAAACCAATCAGCGACTTGACACCTGGATTGGTCAACACGTTCCTGCAAATATAAGACTGGGTACTTCTAATCATAGCATGCACGATAGTCTGTGCATGACTTGGCTATCAGCCAAGACTTGCTGAATAATTCAAATTGTGCAGCAGGATACAGGGACAATTTGTTCAATGTCTTGTGCAGAGCTTGGTTTGCTCAAAATTTTGTTTATTAGAAGCGAATTTCTCCAACTTTCAGAGTTATGTGAGTAAAGTTTTTCCATTTTATACTTACCTGGAACCATTTATATTAGCCTTTTGCTTGTATATTTCCCCCCTTTTCTTTTTTCTCCCCTCGTTTTAATTAATAAATTTGTACTTTAAATGTGGTTTCTTTTTTTTTTTATCCTTATATTTTCCCACAGAGCAAATTTTGTTTTCTTTGTCAATTAACATTACCAACTCCTTCTGATGTGTTGGTTGAAAAGGATCTAAAGAAAAAATGCCTTACTGCATTTTTAAATCTGTGTATATATTCTATAGTATCATATATATATATATATATTTTTTTTTTTTTTAGGAAATGGATTAAATCAGACAGTTATTTTTTAATTTATTTCATTTAAATCCATTTCCTAAAAATAAACTGTCTTTGTTTACGTTAGAATATGAAACATAGCATATATGGATGTTTTGAGAATTGGCAGAGTATGCGTTCAAAATCACTATTCGGACTTTGTTTGAACAGATGGAAGTTCTAAGTGGCCGAGTGGTTAGGCACGTCATATCCAATGATGGTTCCCCATAGGGGATGCAGGTTCAAATCCTATCAGAGGACACATATTTTTCTGACAAGATTTCTTGAATATTCAAACCAGCAGATGTAGTTGGATAAAATATAGTTTACCGGAAAAAAAAACAAAAAAAAAAAACAGCTTCTACTGGAATATGATATACATCCAAAACAACATTTAAACAAAATAAATTAAAAAATAATCACATGAAAGTGCCTGAAAACCATACCACAGGTTGACCCAAGCCTTGTGAGTGAAATTGAGTAGACAGTACCCAAGCTGTGACCGAGGGCTTGAGTGTACTGACCTTGTTCAGATTGTTGATCACACTAGATAACACGCTCTCTCCTAGAAACTGTAACTAAGGTCTGCCCAGTATAGTTGTATTATAAACCACAAGTGGGCTCTGTGGGTGTTGAACAAACAAAAATGTGTGTAAGCAAATGTCTGCAAAAGGGATTAGCTAGCTGCCCTAGTAAGACGGGTATCCTCGAATATAAGTGGCCAGCTATTAAAATGAAAGAGTTATTTGTATAGGTTTTTTTTTATGTATACAATGAACAGAGGACTAAAAATTTACTCACTTGAGGTACTTAGCATATTTGGCCTCTTTCCAATACTGCAGGTATTTCAGGTAATTTACAAATGACTGATCTTTGAAATAATTTCTCTGTGCCAAAACTGTAAGAAGAAAGAACTTCATTTAAAGCAGACCTAAGTTTTCATAATTTAAGAAGGAAAACAAATTTAGAAGTTGACTTTGAAACCTCTAAAAGGAGAAAATTACTTGAAAAAATTAAAAACTTTTGAACAATTTAACAGAACTTAGCAATAGTTGTGTTAATTGTTGCAGGACTTCTGACTGACCAATTTGTTTTTTTCTTGTGTCTTTTCAACCATTTATGTGTTATTTAAAGCCAAAACGTATTTTAGATTGTAAGAATGATAATTCTTTTTTTTTTTTTTGTGAATACTGCATTAACAGTTTTTTTTTTGAGAATAACAATGATTGTTTCAGATTAAAGCCTCACTATTTAACCCATAGCTAGAGTAGGAGATGGATTCATAACTTTCCGCAAGGGTATTTTGCACATAAATGAATGTAACAAATCCAACTGACATTGTTGCAGGAAGCCAAACTGATTTTTGCAGAATGTATAAAGTTGTGGAAAAAAAAAATTATAGACGAGATTAAATTAAAAAATTTTTCATATATTTTATATATATATATTTTTATATATATATATATATATATATATATATATATATATATATATTATTGTAATCTCCAAATCTCAGTAAACCTGAGAGTTATTTGTAATGAAGCAGGCTATTTATTTTTTTTTTTTTTATTATTTACAATATTTATTCAATTTTTTTCATGTACCCTCTTCAAGTCTAGGGTTAACCATTATCTTTTCCACATAAACTGTGTCACTTACTTTAAGACTCACATAACAACTGAGGTCAGTAACCTTCTATTTTGAATTGGTTTGTGCCTTGTATAGAGTGAACATTAACAATATAAAATGAAAATATAACAACTCCAAAAAGACATTATTAACTTCCTATCATTGTTGTATCTTAATTGTGGCATTATTGGAACTAAGAGTTTCATTTGTTTTATACTATACAAATATTTTCCCCAGTGCAAGAATATGAGTACATAATTTGCATTGATTCTATAATATTTTGGGACTGAAGAGACCACAAAATCCATTTTTATATTAGGTATTTTAAGTTCATTTTTGATTCAGAAAAAATTTACAACATTTTCTTTTAAATATGACTGTTCTGTTACTTCAGTACAGCACCTTTGTTTTATTTGTACTTTAGGTACATTTTAGGTCAGTCACCACTTTGAACACTTCCTCTTTAGCCTATAGAAAGTACATAAACTGGCAGAACAAGCAACAAGCTTAAAGGCATGTGGTTCCTACTTTTTCTATCCGCAAATGATAACATTGCTTTTTAACTGTTATGGTGAAACACACCTATTCTATAGTTAATAGACTCTCCCACCTAATATAAGTAGGAGTAGTAAGAGAAATGAAGGTCAGTCGATGTCGGACAACAGTTAGTCGAATACGAAAGTATCAGCGACCACCACAAGATTACTCTGCGTAATACCTATTATATCAAGTTCCTAACGTTTTGTACATCGAACATATTTAAGACCAATTTAGTACAAATACAAGCCTCCACTGCGAAATAACTCCACAACATTAACTCTTTTGGCTTTCAATAAATCTACTGTCATCAGTTTTTTTGATTGCCACAAAGTGTTTATATGTCTGATAAATGGATTCATATTGGGAGCCAGTAACAATTACCAAACTGTTTAAGTCTATTCACATCTTTAGATTGTATACGTTTTAAAATGCTACATTGACTGGTAAAATTAATAATATATTAAAATTTATATAAACAAAAAACAAACACTAAAAATAAATTTAATGTTAAGAGGTATTCATTACACAAAAATATCTATAATTATGATAAATTAATATGAAAAGAAAACAAAAAATCTTACAATTTAAATAATTTGGGTTGGCCAAACATTGCACAAATTCAAGTTCAACTTGAAAACGGAGTTTCTGTTGGTCATCAGTTTCTGAAAAATAAAAAAATTTTTTTTAAAAAAAAACAACTCCAAATTAAAATATCCTTTTTTATTGCACAAAGAACAAGAGCTTGCCCCATAGATTTCTTACATATTGCACACTGGTGTGAGTAGTTGTTGTTCAAGCTGAGGTAAAAGCTAAGATTTTGAATGTTGATTTTCAAGGCAAGTAGACCCTCCTTACTTTGAGATTTGACACAACACAATTTTCTTATTCGGATTTGACCTTGTACAGTGCCAAGTTAAATTTAGTAAAAATATCTAATGGATTAGTACAATCTTTCTTGATTATTATGGTAGACTTCCTTCAGGTCCCTAAATTTTCTTAAATCATTAAAAATTTGGTGAGCAAATAAGAATTGAAGATATGATATTTGTCACAACACTAACAAATAATTATTAGCAGAGATTTAAAGAAGGAAAAGAGCTCTGTTATTATGTGTCTGTAAATATTAAAGTCACATATGAATTAAACATGATGAATTAAACTATACAAACAAATGTACTTTTTTTTTGTTTATTTTTCAAAATTTGGACTATTATTCATTTCGATTAGTTTCTTACATCTTATTATTGCTTTTATATATATATATATATATATATATATATATATATAAAATATTGTTTTAATGTTTGCTATAATTAGGAGTTAAAATGCTCAATAGCACAGATAGAGTGGACATTGTTCAAGTTGTCTTTTGCTCTTATAGATAAAAATGTAGCTAGATACTGATTGGTCTCCATGGTCAAATTTGCAGGGCATCACTTATAAGTCAACAGCTTAATAAAGGTAAGGTTATAGCAAAGTAGTCACTACTCATGTGTGTGTATTGGCTGTTTATATGGGTATAAAAAAAAAAATAAAAAGACAAGAAAACATGGTACCAGTTGGAAAACCTGACATATGAAATAAGGTTCTGAATGAGATACAATACTAAAAACTTGAAGTTTGCTACAAGTAATGTAGTTTAAATTTAGTAGACTATCAGTTCAAGAAAGTTATCAGATCCTTAAATGTTAAGCTGGTCAGTACTTTACTGATCTACCAAATAATGAACCAGCATTCTCAGTCAACAATGGTGACTAATACAACATGTGAATTCAACAAACTTATTTTTCCTACTCATTACCAATGTGTCATCCTCCTTGACAAATCTTCACCTTTTTTTATAATGGTTATTTTGAATATAAATGCATCTTTTGATTGTAAAACCTTGTTCTTTTTGGTAAAGATAATTTGAATATTAATAATACTAAGGATTATTTGCTTGCATGCACATAACTTCTATGAACATGGCATCGAGCCAGTACACTTTCATATGTATTTGCATTTTTCTAATTTGAGCCTTTAGGAATTCTATATATATTTTTCAATGAATAAAATCCCATCAGAAGGTTTGTTGGATAAACAATCATTACAAGGGCAAATACTGTCAAAACATGTGGACATAGTTGTAGACCATTTAGAAAATAATAATAATAACTCCCTTTACCACTCCTGCAAATTCAAGAAAAAGATTTTTGCAAGCCAGTGTGAAATTATTTTCTAACCAATGAAAACCTTGTATTCAAAAATTTCACACCTCCATGTGAAATTAGATTTTGAATCCCCTTACTCATATAAAATAGAAGCATACTGCTTTTCAAGGCTCACAGCAATTTCAGAGGCCAGTTTGATTTATATTTGTGTACACACACACAACAGAAGAGAGACAGCCAGCAGTCACTAAGACCTTGTCCTAGCACAAAATAGAAGAGATTAACCAGCAGCCACCGACTAAGTCTTTGTCTACAAACTCACAAACATATTAGACTATCATAAAGTAAGTGCTCATACATTTCACACTGAACTACAAACACTTAATTACTTTATAGAACAAACTTCATTGCAAAGGAAAAGTGAACATTTTATTGCTATTGTATATTTCTGAAAAGAATATGTTATTTCAACAAGATGTTCTGATTCTACTTTCAATTCAGTAAATAACTTTTTATGCTTCATTTAAAAGATGTGTTGTTGGTAAATGTTTGGAATTCCAACACTCAGATAGCAACTAAAACCTGGGTTGACAGATCATAACAAGTCTATACAAAAATAAGGTACTATAAATATACACATTTTTTTTTTTCTTTTTTAGGCAAATAGACATTGATCTCAATATTAAAAGCAATAATATTATTGTTGCCACCTTGCCTTTTAAATAATTCAAAAGTATAATCAGTGAGCAAACTTAAATTATTTCTACTAATAAAAAATTTTAAAAAGTATAATTTAAACAATTATTAAGTCAGCCTAATTTCTTTATGTGGCAACTATAATATACATGAGCACCTTAGTATAGGATAATAATGGTTAATGAGGTAAGTCTGGTTGACCATTTCTTCTGAGTAAGGAGTTCAATCCTCACTGGGTGCCTCATACTTTAAATTATAACCTTATACCAAAACTAAGCTAAACTTAATAGCTTTTTTAACTTTAAATACCTTACCTTACTGACAATGTTCCAGACTTCAACAACAAAATGTAGCAAAACATAAAAGAACCAAATTTACAGCTTTTTATGTCTATTTCATTTTCCCAAATAAACTTTTTTCCTTCTTGTATGTTCATGCGAAAATGTGGCGGCTTATTAGTTTGTTTTCTTAATTTTTAATTATTAAAATTTAAAAATTAAGTTGGAAACGAATTTAATGTCCATAAATAAAATAACACGGAGATATTGACTTTTTTTTATGTTTTTCATTTGTTTTTAATATTTCTTAGGAACATTCACCCTACAGTATATGGTTTCTGGGTCCTAATCTGCAATTTTACATATTTCTTGATATAGGATGGAAAGAAATTATTGATTTTAAATTTGGAGTTCACGCTATTTTCATGTTTACTCCGAAATATTTAATTTCTGCATACTGATTGAGAGCTCGGAATATGAGTCTCGCTCAAAACAAAATAATTTTCATCCGACAGAAGGAAGAAGTTAATGAAGGTTTGACTTTGATATATAGAAACAGACGAAACACTGAAGAAATACTCATATCTTTAAAAAATAAATTTGTTGAATGTTTTTAAATGGAATTTATTAATTTACATTTTCTATATTAAGTAGGATTATTTTTGAAAATTCGTTTGTGGGTCTAAAAAGTATAATTTTATTTATGCATTGTAAAGAAAGAAACGATTCTTATGGGAAAGAAGAACCTTGTTAAAATTTTCACTTCTCAAAAATATTTTTAGCCATTCTAGGTGTAAAATAAAATTACAAAAAGAAAAAATCTTTTTATACTGATCTTAACAATTGTATAACTTTCTCTATCCCTCCTTGAATGGTGGAGATGGATAGGAGCCAATAATTTAAAAAGAATAATTAATTAGTCAATGTGTTTCAAACTTAAAAACATTTCAAAGATCGAATATTTAAATGCCGATTCTTTCTTGTTCACATCATAAAACTACGTGAATTTAAAAAAACAAAGATGTAGTATACTAGCAAAGAAATGTTTACACTCGAAAATACTTAATTTCACAGATTGAAAAAAAAAAATTAAATAAAAGAGTAGTATCCTCATATACCGTGCTGTTTTCTTAAATATTCTTTGACACAAAAAAACCGTATTTATTTGAAAACATCAACAAAAATTTGCACTACAGCTTTTCGCGAAATATAGCAGTAATAAAAATGAATGCATATGTAAATATACTTTTCTGGAGTTGATTCTTCAAATTACTTCATGACTTGTAGAAAGGTTTGGGGGTTTAAAATTGAAACATACCTTGACTCGGATGAACAGGGACACGCGATGACGCCATACTTGGAAGAATCCCTTTTCCGGAAGTGGAAAGATTGTATTCACAGTTGTAGTAATTATCTCCCTTTATGGATAAACTGTCTGAATTATTTTTGATGGTCCAAAAGAACAATTAATTCTGACTCAAATTAAATTTTTTAACCAATTTTCAAAAGTCTATATTGATTAAAAAAGAAATATTCTGTCATTCACTGTAATTATTGTTTTCTAGTTCAATGTGTTGTAAATAATTTACAGATACTAATAGCAATTTAGTCATTGTAAATGGTTCAGTTATGTGCCATGCATGATACCCGATTAGGCGATCATGTATCTTTTGATACATGACTGACGAGGTAGATTTTTCCCAAAAGTAGGTTGCCATTTCTTTCTGCGGTAGACCAGTTGCCATCCAAGGCTATAGAACTCAGTCTGTCCTGCTTATTTACCCATAGCTGGGGGGAGAAGAATGGATTCGACTGTAATTCGAACTTGGCTGTCCAATTCCTTAATCCAAGCCACTATCCATTACTCCACCGTGCCTCCTCAATGGCAACCTACTGCAGGAAAATATCTGCCTCGTCAGTCATGTATCGAAAGATACATGATCACCTAAGTGTGTATCATGCATGGCACATAACTGACTGACTAGGTATAGTACTAGTCTTAATTATGAAAAAATGTAGGAAAAAGAGAACTCTTCATGATGGGGGAGAATGAAGATCAAGTGACAACAAGGCTCACCATAAAAAAACGGTAAGAAATACTCAGTGAGATATAAAACTAAGACAATTTTATCAAAATAAAATGAAAGCAAATTTTACAAAATATTAGGGGTGAACAAATTTGGTCTGTGCACAAAGGATCGTTTGGTTGGCAAGGTCGAATTTACTGCTTTGTGGCCGAGAGGTTAGGCACGTCAAGCTAAATGACAGTTCCATATAGGATGCAGGTTCGAATCCTGTCAAAGGACGAATATTTTCTATGAAAATTTCTCGGACATTCAGGTCGGTAAATGTTATTTAATACTGTTTATTATAAACAGAGCATTTACTAAAGTACTTGTATCTATAAAACGAATGTTAAACATAAAAATGTCTTTAATAAATTATCGGACTTTGTCCATTTCTTAATGTATAATGCATCTAATCTCACAATGCAAACAGACAACAATTTTTCTTTTCACCATAAAAATTTATTCTTTATCTGTATTCTTTTCACTCTCCCAAATACCACATTTGATGTGGAGCCAAAGATACGTCTTAAAGATAGTTGTTGTGGGAAAACGAAATAAAATCAATTAATAAAATAATAATAATGAATAATAAAAAAAAGAAATCCATTTTCCCATGATGCTAAGAGTAAAGGAACCAGAAATATGATTACCCCACTTGGATTTACCAAATATTATTAAGTGGAATTTTTGAAGCCAATATAAAGGCAAACATTTCCTGCCTCATGTACTATCTTCTCTTTGCTGAAGCATGTGGTAATTATGTTTCCACTGGGGAATGTTAGTTCCCACTGACTGAACTCTCTTCACACTTTCCAATGCATGACTCTCGAACATTTCTTCAAAAACCTCAACCTATGAAGTAAGTCAAGATTTCTCTTTGGTTGTTACAACACGGTGCAAGGCTGACTTGAGTGCAGCCATAATAACAATGCTTATACTGACTTACATTAACTTCTGGACCAAGAAACAGAAAATGGACATCCCATAACCATGTGTAAACCTTCCAATAATAAAGTAAGTAGAAATTTTCCTTTGGTTGTTCTAACTCTACACAAAGCTGACTTGAGCTCAACCATGAATACAATAATACTTGTACTTACCTACCCCAACTTCTGGACCAGAAAGAGAATGGACATACCCAAGAAATACAGAGAAATTTGTTGCACTACAGTCACCATAAAAAGAATAAACACCTGTAGCAGAAACTCAAGTTTTTATTTGCTTCTATCTTCTTTGTTTACATATTGAACATGCTCTCATAAAATACACAAACACACAACCTGTTAATTCCATATTGTAAGATGTTACAACTGGTATGTTATATATTACATAACTTACTTAGTCCAGCAGAGAGGTACTGTCCAGTCATGAAATCTTTGTAATCTATATATGTTTTATTCTTGAGAATTTGTCAAGGATCTCTCCAAATTCATGAAAAGTTTATCAAAATGAGGAATTGTTGTCTTATTTTGACCTGCATGCAAAGTTATACAGGTTTCCATATTTAAAAAAAAGGTGCTTTATTGCATTTCATCAACATAGAAGAGTAAATGGTTAACTGCATTTATCATTGATGTAACTATCAATAGATAGATAGATAGATAGATAGAAACTAAAATAGGTAGATAGATATAAAAAAGATAGGAACAATAAATAAATAGATAGATAAACAATATATAGATATAAAGATACATATAAACAATAGATAGATAGATGTGAACAAATATATATATATAGAGAGAGAGAGATAGATAGATAGATAGACAGACAGATAATGAACATACTGAGATAGATAGATATGAACAAACCAAGATAGATAAAAAAACTAAATTCAACTTATATGTGTGTTCATGTGTTAGTGAAATTTTTATTTTATTTATCTATTAACTGCACAGTTAAATAAAAATGTTATTTTTATGTGTATTTATAAATATAGATAGTTAGGTAGGTAGATATGAACAGAGGCTGAAATAGATAGATAGATATGTGCAGAATAAGATAGATGTGAACAGACTGTTGTAGATAAAGTTGGTTGTTTTTATGACATGTCAATTTATATGATTTAAATGTTGAATATTGTATGGGGCAAACAGTGAGAATGGTCAACCTTGTTATCATTACTAACCATTACTCTATGCCGAAGCACCTGACTGATATAGATAGATAGAGAATTTTAGAATAGACTTTTTATTAATCCGTCATATTTTTATCACTTTAAACATCATTTTTAATGGATACTTGTATTTGAGTAGATGCTACGTTCATTTATTAAACAGTATATTTATTTATTTTCATCTACCAGCTTGAATAGTTGAGAAATCTTATTAAAGAAAAATTTGTACTCTCTGGAAGGATTTGAACCCTCATCCCTCACAGTTACTGTTAAGCCCAGTATGCCTTAACTGACTTGGTCACAAAGAGCAGTCAGTCTGGTGAGGCCAAATTTAGTGCCTTCACGTAAAACATTCCCATCATAGTTTCTCGAAGTTTTACATATCTGCACAGTTTTGTATCAAAACATAAACAAAGAAAATTTTAGAATGGACTCTTTATTAATCCAACAGATTTTATCACCTTAAACATTATTTCTAGTAGATATTCGTATTTGAGTTGGCGCTCCATTTATTTATTAAACAATATATATTTAGTAATGCAAATTTTTCTGTTAATCATTATCTTCTGTCTTAATTCTTGTTCTTTTATTGTTCTCACTCTTTAATAATGTTTCACTTTTTGGCAAAATATTAGAGGCTGTAATTTAATTCTGAATTGGTTAAGCATCTCACATCACAGGGTCTTTTTCAGATAAGCAATATGACTTCTGCTTCTCTAGGTCAACTGCTGATGTGTTAATGATTATTACTGAAAGAGTTTATCAAGTTTTATATAAGAATGATGAAGCTCAGGCTGTTGCTTTGGCTATCTCAAAAGCATTTGACAGGGTTTGGCATACTGGTCGTCTTCACAAGTTGAAAGGTTATATTTTTGATTTTTGAACTGATTCAGTCTTTCTTATCAAATTGCAAAATGGCAGTTGCCTTGAATTTTCACTTTTCTAGATTTCTTTGCATAAATGCAAGTGTTCCCCAGGGCTCTATCTTTGAACCTATATTGTTAAATAAATGACCTTCTTGATGTCATCAGTTCTCAAATCTGCATCTATGCTGATGACGCAACTATTTACTCATGTCTCAATAGTAAGTCTGATTGGTTTGAAACAATCAAATTGGTAGTGGATCTCAAAAATCTGTTGTTAAATAGGGAAAGAAATGGCTTGTTAATTTTAATGCCTCAAAAACTAAACAGCTCTCTTTTAATTATTTGCAAGAACCCTTTTTACCTTCCATCAGCTTGGCTGATTCTAACCTCTAGGAGAGTGACACATTGTGCCTTCTTGGACTAACATTTTCAGCTGACATGAAGTGGAAAGAGTATATTGAATGAAGAATTAAGTCTGCAGCTAAGAAACTTGATTCAATATGTGATGCTAGACAATTTTTCTCACCAGAATCCATCTTATAAATAAGTCTACCATTCATCCATGCATTGAATATTGTTGCCACATCTGGTCTGATGCAGGAGCATCAGACCAGAAATTTTGAAATTTTTGATAAAATCCAAAGAATTGGTCTTGACCTGGCATCTTGGCTTCAGTCCTTTTCCCACCACTGTAACATGGCTTCCCTGTGCCTTTTCTATAAATATTTTCATGGTAATTGTACTGATGAACTTTCCTCTATGCTTCCTAGAGTCTATGAATTTAAGCACAGTACTAGATCAGCAACAAGGTTTCATCATTTTACAGTTGAAATGGCTAGATGTAAGTTCTATGCTAACAGTTTCTTCTCTCTCATTTCTTGCTTGTGGAACTCTCTTATAGCTTCTTGCTCCTCAGTCAACTTTTAATCGTCAAAAATTTAAATGTAATGTCAATTATTTTCTTCTGCCTTCTTAATTCTTGTTCTTTTATTGTCCTCTCTCTCATTAATAGTAGTTTTTTGCATATTCTCTCACATTCAGTTACCGCTTGTGTCCTAGTGGCTTTATTGTTTTGCCTGGGGTGAAATTATTAAAAAAAAAGGAGAAATACAATGTATATTGCTGGCAATATTTATTTTTCCAAAAATGTATTGCTGGTATTAAAATCTATTTTTTACACTTTCATAGTGTTTTTGTCCAATTTGGGGGGTAACTATTTGCCAATAGTTGGGACCTTAACAAGTGCTACCATCCTGGATCAGGGTGGACCTGGGAATACTAGCAATTAAGAGGTGGTTTCACATTCCTCAAAATCTCCTAATCAGAGGTCTTGCTGCTGGTTTATTGTCATACCAAGAATGCGGATGTAGTTTATCGTCATACCCAGGATGCCTCATTGGAAGGGGTCTTACCCTTCTGCAGAGGTGCAGTCAGCATATTCTGAAGCCTCAGCCAACAAGGCATGTAAGTGTATTGTAGGTGTGTGCATGTTAACATATAATCAATTGAAGAAGAAACAACAAAAAATTGGGTTTCTACTACAGACCATTTTTTCTTGCTTTATAGTAACTGTAGGGAAACAAAGTCCTCAATGTTTCTTGGGTATGTTCATTTTCTTTTTCTCGTCCAGAAGTAAGTTATGGTAAATAATGATAAGCATCTTTATAATGGTCACATTCAAGTCAGCCTTGCACTGAGTTGGAATAACCAAAGAAAGGTTGTACTTACTTTATCGGTGGAGGTTCAGCAAAACATGTTTGAACACTATGCATTGGAAAGTGGAAAGAGATACAGTTCTATCCTTTCTGAAAGTCATGTTTTCTTTTTTTTTGTCTAGAAGTAAGTTTGGGTGTTGGGAAGTGGTATCCTAAAATTATACAGATAATAAAATCCCTTTCAGTTTTCTTTATCACTAGCATCATTGGAAAATGTATTTCTTTTTTTTATTCTTTATTATTATTTTATTTACTGATTTCATTTCATTTTTCCACAAGTCTCATGTTTTTTTTTTATTTGCATCATTCAAAATACTCAGGATAAGAGATTTAACATTTTCTCTTCTCTTCCTCTCCTGGTAAAAATTCTTTTATTATCTTCAGACAAACATTAAAAATTTTACATTATTTGTTAAAAATAATTGTTGGTACTTTATTTGAAACCACAACTTTGTTTTCTCATACATTTTGTTCTTGCATAAGACAATTAATTTTTAGTCAAATAAAAATGATTGTCAATTCCTCTACATATACTTCATAAAAGTACTTACAAACAGCTTATTGTAGAAATGCTTTGCAAAGTGTAATTCCTTATCTAGGGAATGTATTAAAATTAATTTACTTGAGAGATATAGTAATTTATTATATAAATATGTCACAAGTAAAAAACTATTGAAGTAAATGTGAATTCTTGTTGAAGAATTTTGCAAACTTCAAACAGAGAATGTTACTTACAATAGCAAAATAATGAAATATCCCTTGATTTTAATATATTTTATAAACAGGTATTCTTTAAATAGAAAACTGCTAAAATGAAGCCAGGCAGTTAGTAAAAAATGACTTGAATAAAATTTGATGTGTAAAAAAGATATGTATGTATAAAATATAGTCTTCAAGTCTTAAATCTGAAAATGCTTTGCAAAGCTTAATTCAAAATAAAACAATATGTTAAAAGTAAGACTACAGTTCATTTTACAATACTTTATATTATGGATAATTTAAAACTTTTGAGTGCATTCATTGTTTTCTAGAGTCAGAAAATGAATATTGAAAAGCAAAGAACATTTTTTATCAGATTACAAAATAGACAATAAACTATTTTTAATAACTGCATTTTTGTACGAAAGAATAAAACAAGCTTAATAAATAAGTATATTTATTTTTCTTGGAAATTTTGTTCTCATTTTTTATAATTTTCAGGCCTTTCAATTGTTATTTAAACTATCCAAAAAGCAATTTGCTCATATCTGCAAAGGGAGAAATAACTGATTTCAAGAAGTGAAAACTTTAGTATGCTTGAATTTTCTTCTCGAATATTGGAAATTGGATTCTTGTTAATAATATTCCTTTGGTAAGCAATAATTAAAACTATATTTTAATGTTTAAAAAAAATTAGCATTTTTAGATAGTTTGTAACCAAAATGGATTTTTTTTAAAATTTTATTATATTGGTAATAACGATTTTTTTCTTTTACCTTTCTTTTTTAAGAAAATAAATAAATCTAAATGAAAACAAAACGATTATAATTTAAAGAATATATTATTTCTTTTAATTTCTCAACAATTCCACAATCAAGTCAATGGTTGTTATTGAATTTTTATCCAATGACAACGCAGAATGACCGTCTCTGCGCAACTGTTACAAGCCAACCAACATGGCCGTCACTGTAAACGGATATTCTTGAATGTGGCTGCTTTGTTTTTTATTCAGTACCCCAAGCAGCAACTGATATCCTCCAAAATGGATTTCCCGGCTTCCCCCGTGGAACAAGAAGTGTTCCATGCAATGCAAAATGTCGACGTGGAGTGTTTGTCGCGAATGAGCGAGGCAAAGTTGCGACCCATTCTACCGGCTCTGGTCCGCATGGCTCTGTGCAAAGCCGTCGACACAAGCGCAGATTGGGCCGCTTCACGAAAAACCGTCTTGAATATTCTTTCTAATTTTGATGTTGTCAATGGACTTGTGGCTCTTTTGTCTATCGACTTCCATTCTTTAGAACAAGACGTAAAGAAAGAGCAAAGCCTTAGGTATGACCAGTTTTATTTTTTAAAACTTTTTTTATTGATTTTAAATAAAAATCGATTGATGATTGTTAAAAAGTTGTTTTTTTTTCTTCTTTTCCTTCAAACATTAAACAACAAAGTTCTGTATGACATTTTATTTTTACGAAAAAGAAAAAGTTTGGTAAGCATATCATGAAATAGTGTAAAATAAAAAAAAAATTCATAATGATTAAAAAAAAACAAAAGTTGACAATGGTTCAGTTCGAACCTTTATGTTGGTAAGTGAAGTGTCTTGTTTTTTTTTTTTGTTTTTTAAGGTAACACTGGCGAAAATTGTTGGGGGTTTACGTTTTTGCCAATTCATTTTTTTTTTTTTTTACTATAGTTTTTTTTTTCTCTCTTCATAGTTTGTCACTTTGCAATTTTAAAAATTATTTTCTAGTTTAATTGCAGACGCACCTAATAATTAAAAAATAAAATTAAATTACCTTTTTTGATTTTTTTTTTTTTTAATAGTTCATGCAAGAAGTTAAAACATTTGTGGGGAAAACAAATGATAACTTAAATTTTAAAAAAATAAATAAATAAGAATAAAAATGAAATCGACTACTAAATACTAAAAAAACAATAATAATTAATCTCCTTTCATGTACATGTGCTGTAATCACATCAATGTTGTATGTATTGTAAACATTACTTCAACTCCAATGAAGTCTTAAAGGACGAAACGCATCACACGAAAAAAATTTTCCACTTTGTCATAGATTTTCCTAAAACACACACACACACACACTCTCTCTCTCTCTTTTTGTAATTGTTTATGTGAGAATATCTCCTTGGTGGAATTCATTCCTCCAACACATTTCACATTCATTCCATTTCCTTTTTTTTACCTCTGAAAATAATGGCAACCCGTTGTTTACATGTGAAAATTTTGGTTGTCACTGCTTTTGGTAGAGCCAGCAGATAACGTAACAATTCGGTGACGATCTGATGTGATATGAACCAGCAAATATGCACTTACCGTGACAAACGACATGATATGAAGACACTAGTAGAAAAATTACAAAAATGCAACTTGCAAAATCCCAAAATGCAACCTTAAGACAAAGTTAAAAGATGGAACCCTAAATCAATGAAATTTCTTTAAAATTTCAACATGGAGATATTTTCCTATAACTAATAAACAATTAGAGTTTACACAGCTGAAAAAGAAAGGAAAAACATTAAAACTTAGCTATTAGGAAATGTGTGTGTGAGTGTGTGTGCATGTAAGAGATGCATCATATAGCATCTTGGCAGACAAAGTGGAGAGTAACCTCCACAGATTTATGGACTGAATAAAGGTTTTTATTAAAAATTCTGAGAAGTTTACCAAGTACAATGTCAGACACCTGAAGAAGGATGAAAGATACAACAGATGAAATGTTGTCAGTATATAACAATGAAGCTGAGCATACTTGTTAAATAATAAAATATCTAATACTGATCATTCCTCATCTCAATTTCCAACATATAAGACCTGCCGGTCTATGCTAGTTTGGTTTTGCTATTGTAGCCTAGAAACTAAACTTGGTAAATATCAACATTTCTGCAAAATTAAAGCATTTCTTGTACTTTAATAAAAATTTGCTAACTCCAAGTAGTAGTCAACTGCTAGAAGTGAGTAAAGTGAATTCCACAATGAATCTCCAACTGCAGGATATCTACCAACTACCCCACACAGTCAGATGTGGCACAAGGCTGAATTTAATTTAATTTACCCGAGCCTGTAGACTCGGCCAAAAATTACCCATAGACCCCGTATAAAACGGAGTCAGCTAGCTGTTTCCTGAGACTAGACTCTGCCCTTTGACATAGCCTCGTCTTGGGATCGTCTCTGCCCTTTGACATCGCCTCGTCTTGGGATCGTCTCTGCCCGGAGTCTCCAACTGCAAACCCACATACAGTATTTATTACTGCATTTATGTGAATGGGGACATACCCATTATTACCCATAGGTATGCTACAACAATTATTTACATTTAGACTAACATTCTCGTCTTTATTGTTGTCATCATAACATTTCGGCAGTTGTACTCTCCAGCCTTCTTCAGATGTCTGTCAACAAATTTGGCCATTGTTTGCTTGTTGACACAGCTATAAACATGGGCAATGTTTACCTGTTGACTCAAATATAAAAAAAAACTGATTTTGGGCATTAAATAGCCCACCCCAAAAGTTAATATATAACTCACCAACTACAGTATCAATCTCTATTTTGTTTATTATAATCTTAAAATATTTGTGTGAATAAGTTTCCAACAATTTTAAAACATGTTATAGTGGAACACACCTATTCTATAGTTAAATGACTCTCCCACCTGTAATAAGTAGGAGTAGTAAGAGTAACGAGTCAGTCAATGTCGGATAACAGTTAGTCAAATACTAAAGTATCAGTGACCACAACTAGATTACTCTGCGTTATACCTATTATATCAAGTTCTAACGTTTGTACATTGAACCTATTTTAGGACCGACTTAGTACAAATACAAACCTCCACTGTGAAATCACTCCACAACAAAACGAAAAAAAAACCCACACTTTTCTAGAGTGTAGTCTCCAATTAAAAAAAGAAAAACAAGTTTTGAGAAATTTTTGCCCTTAACTTATATTAGAAAGTTGTTAATTGGTAAAGGTTTATTTTTTATAATTTCTCTTGACTATATTATTGCTCATCTTGTAAAGACTTTAGCCCCTTAACTACCCAAGTTGATATAAATATGATTGGTCAGAGCTCTAGATGACCTGAATTGACTAAACTTGTTTTTTTTTTTTTTTAACTAAACTAGAATAAGAGCCATGGATGAATATCTGACAACAGTTGATTTATTTAATATGAAAATTTTAAACCATTTTATTATTTATTTTTTAATCAGAGAAAAAGTTGGTGGTGCCCAGTCTGAGAGTGTCCTGATTTCTCAATTAGATCAGGGTCTATCATTGGAATTTGAAAGAAGTGATTGTGCTCGTAGAATTCGTCTTGTACTCAGTGAGATATTTTTTATTCTTGGACAGGTAAGATTCATCCATGATTACAAGTTATATTTAAGTTATTGTCCCTATAATAAAAATGTTGATATACAATCCACCAAACCATTAATCTTAATCATTATAATAATCTTAAAATATTTGTCTATATTTCTGAGATGAGGTATTGTAATTATTTACACTATTTACCTCGTTCAAACTGTTGTCTTCATCTTTATTGACTTATTCACGTTTCGGCCATTGTACATTTTGACCTTCTTCTGGTGATATACGTAGGAATTTCAAACTGATCTCTTTATTTAGTCCACAGGGATTAACCAATACTGAGAAAACCACAAAAGGCATGGCATGTGGAATTAGAATAATTTATCCTTGTGGACTAAATAAAGGGTTTCAGTTTGAAATTCCAACATCTATCACCTGAAGAAGGTCAAAGCACAAAACGGCCAAAACATTGTGAATATGGCAATAAACATGAGGACAACGAACAGTCCGAACAATGTAAATATTTAAAATATTTCTGTGAAATAAATTTTCAGCATTTTTTTATTATTATTAAAAACAGTTTTCTACTGTGAATTTAGTCAGGTTTTGGGAAATTTAAAAAAATTTAATTTCCAAGAAATATCTTTTAATTTTTAAGTTTACCACTCATCTAAATAATATTCAAGATATTAATCTTCCTTTAAATTTTTTTGTTGTTGTATGAGATGCTACGCAAAAGTGTTGGAAATTTGACCTTGGACAAAAAACCTACTTGCCCTAATACTGTAACTTTTGAAGTAGTTGTCTTTATGAGGCAACATATTGATTCACAAAGGAATGATAGCAAGTTGAGGACCTTCTGTGATTCACTCTGGATATCAGCAATGGTTTTAAAATAACAATCTTTGGGCTACGTTTTCAGCTTGGAGAAAAGACGCAGGTGATCTGGTGAATAGGGTGAGTGCGGAAGTGATAGAATGTGGTTTTTTGGCTAGAAATTCACGAGAGGAGAGCTCGGTGACAGAGTACATTGTCATTGTGAAGAATCCAATTCTTCATGCTCCACAGATCTGGTCACTTTCGCTGAATGTCCTCCTTCAAATGCCTGAAAACATTGCAATAGAACTCTTAATTGATGGTCTGGCCTTGGGGCATGAATTCTTGCTGCATAATACTGTGGATGCTGAAAAAAAACAATGTGCATGCTCTTGATTGAACTGCATCACTGTCGTGGAGACGAAGAGCTTTTCCTCTGTGTTGTCTGTTGTTTCGTCTCGGTCTTGCCCATTATAAAAATTCGGACCCAACAAGACAAGTGACAAGACGCAACTCTTGTCACTTGACATGAAAGATGGGTCATTAGTGACATGCTGGCAGAGATCTTGACAGACTTCAATACAATTCAGAAATTCAAACAGAAATTACAGATTTCTGTTTATATGCTGTCACTGCTAAAAGTAATAGCAGTAGATAGATTTGACAGACTTTGACGTGATGTTCTTTCTACTCAATGGTCAGCAGGCAGGAGAAAAACTTGGCAGCAACATGCCACATGTTCAATTCAGATGTTAAGATTTCCTGCATGGACCCATACATAAAAGTACAATAGACCAATAACATCAGTAATATTGTACTCTGATGAACCTCATGCACAAGGTGAGTGATTTTTCTCCACATTTCTGGAGGTGATGCTCATATCTGGTCTTCCAGATGGCTTGTCATCTTACAGGGACATTCTTCCACTTTTGAAGCACCTGTGCCACCCAAAACATTGCATACAATCCATTGCCTTGTTGCCGTAAGCTTGCTGAAGGATGTTTAATTTCTCTGTAGCAGACTTCCCAAGCTGAAGGCAAAATTACACATTAGCTCTTTGTTCCAACTTCCTGTTCATGATAAAAAATTACAAATATCCTGTTCATATGCTGTTAGTACTAAAGTAAAAATAATAGTAGTAGATAAGTTTGCCTATCATCCAGTTTACACTCCTCCCTGGTCTTTTGAACAGGAGTAGAGGTTCATCCCTTGTTTACTGTTTAAGATTGGGTTTCCAGTCACTTCAAAGTCTACTTCAACTCTATACTCTTAATGTCTCCACCTGAACTCTGAAACTTTATGTGCTAATTAAATCCTGGATTCTTCAAGTCTAGAATTAGATGTTATCTTTCCCTCTCTTACACTAATACAACTCATTACACTAATCTACCTTGAGTGGCCCTTGGGCCTGCCTTGTATTGGGTGAATATTATTAACAAAAAAAAAAAAAGAAAAGATAATTAGTTACAATTAATTAATAATCTCCTACTAGTAGAACTTGCTATCACTATGAAATAGAGTGAATGAAGGTTTTGATGTATTTTATTTAAAAAAAAATCCTAGTTTGATATCATGGGTTACATAAACATTTAGTGATGCAATATTCTCTCCCTCTTTTTTTCAGATAAAGGAAAACAAAGAATTTTTCCATAAAAGTTCTGAGTTATTTGAGTGTGAAATTTATTTGGATGACATCTCTGATGTTTTGTGCATTGCACAAGCAGGTAAAACATTGTTTAAAATAATTTTATAAAAGACAAATATTTATATTGGAAATAGAAAAAGACAAAACCTCAAAATGGTATAAAATAAAATATTAGCAAGTGGTTTTTAAAAGAGAACCAAATACAATTTTCAACAAGATATATATACTTTTAACAACCACATTCAGTAACCTACTTTGAGTGAGACTTGTATTAGGTTAACAACAGTAAAAAAACAAAAAATGGCTGACTAAATTTTTTCTTTTCTCTGCAAATAAGATTTTCTTTTTCTCTTTCAGAACTTCCTTCGTTACTTCCTCTAGTTTCTCTAGCCGATTCTTTGCTCAGCCTCAAAAATGGTTCCTGGCTTCTATGCAGACTTGTGGCAAATTCCCCAGACTCTTTTCATGAAGGTATATAATGTGCACTTTTCTTTTTGAGTTTATGTATAACTGCAGGCAAACAATTCACCTATCTTCTAAATAAATAAACAGCAAATTCTGTGTGTCCAAAACCCATTTAACTTGGACCACACTTGCTCTACATAGACATATATCTTTTTGGGGATTAGGATGATCCCAGGATTGAAAATCTGCCCATCATCTTAAGAAGAAAAAAGGCAGGAAGGAGCAACTGGGCAAAAAACAGAAATCCATACTTATGGAAACTGAAGACCAAAATAACACAAGATTTGTTCAAGTCAGCTGACTGCTATGCAGAGAAAGCTAAGCAAACTCAAAATTTCACACTTATTGCAAAGTCCAATGCCGTGTGAAGATCTGCAAAGGACAAGTCTATAGAGACATCAAAATTGGTAGAGGAGCTGAATGCTAAACTAGATGAATTGAAAAAATGTTAATATCATTGTGTTCTGTGCCATGATTAGTAGCTAAAATGTATTTTGGGGAAAATTTCTATTTGTAGTTCTATTCATTAAAATCATTATACTTCACAGGAAATGTGCAGCAGTCAAGAACTTTTGTGATATTCACAAACCATGAGTTGTCTAGACAGCTGAAATATGTAGCAGTAAGAATTAAAGTGTGTAATTAAAAATTTTCAAGTGTAGTGGAACTCCAAACTCTGCAGAATGCTACACAAAATGTGTAACATAACCATGTCTGTATGCAAAGTTCTGTTTTAACCTTCAATACTTGGATTTCTTCACTGCTTTCAACTGATCCATATGACATGAATTATTGGAACCAACTGTAACTTTTCTTAAAACATCTCATCTGTCAAACTATTAAAAGATAAATCACAAATTTGTGTTTTGGAAATTGATAACCATTCACTTTGTGTGTGTGTGTGCACACCTTTGTCAGTTTCATTCCTTGAAAATTCTTAATATACAGTCCTGAAAGTTTTTTTTTACACAGATCTATGGGAACCCTGAATTGAAGTTCCATGGAGTTTTTGATTTGGAGAACTCTGTTTTCAGCCTGAATTGGAATTTCGGCCCAAATCAGACTTTTGGCTGGAATTGGACTTATAGCCTGAATCTGGAGTGAATTGAAGAATTCAAAGTTATTTTTTTGAAATTATCAATGCTGTTCTAAGCTGAACAATAGATCCTTTTAGTTTTGGACTGGATGCAGGAACTAGCTTGAAAGTCTGCTCAGAATGCAGCTTTTAAGTTAGTTTTAAATAAATCTAAGATCCCCTTAACATCTTCATTGCTGAATTGGTTATGTGAGAAGAATGTTCAGTTTCCAAAACTAAGGAAATAACCCATGGTTAAAAACACTTTCCAAACCTATTGCCAACTATTTGTTGCTTACCACTCAACAGTCTATTAAAGTAAAAGCTAAATGAAACAAGTGGAGTTCATCACTGAATTGGACCAAAGACAAAAAAACGAAAAGCCTCTGATGATTATATTTGGAAATGTCAAAACAAATTTGGCAATAATATCTTTAAAAATATGTGAACAACATCAATAAAATAAAGCATTTCTGCTTCTTTCGACTGTTTTTGGTGGTGGTGTGGGAATTGCTAAAATTAGTGGTGGGTACATATGGCCACTAGGGGGTGGAAGATTATCATCTTTAGGTAGTCCAAAATCTGTTTCTAAATGCAATCATCAGGCATTGCATTTAGCATGAAACCGACTGTTGCCTCTGGCTTTTGACATCAATGTCTACTTTTATATTTACATACACTCTATCCCCAATATTGAGCACTTTAACCCATAAATATAACATACCTTAAAATTATATTTTATCATCCTGTTCGTTGATTGAGCACTTTGGAACAAAGGGTATTTGATGACTGCTGCTGTAATACTAAGCTCTTTGCAATGAATAGAGCACTCTAGAAGCTGATAATGCTTATATCATGTATATAATGCATTAAAATTCCTTTTCTTCATAGCATGCAATGATAGCCTAGGGATAAGAGTCTCTGACTGATGTCTAATTGGTTGTTTCAATCTTGGTTTGAACTCAATCGCCTGTCTAGCCACACTGAAGAGCTGTGAAACAGTCTGTCTGTGGAGATATATATGAACAGATTTTATTAAAAATTAGCAGAAACAATGTCTAATTTATTCAATCAGACATGTTCAAAAGAGAATTTGCTTTCTAAATACACAAATTTAAATATATATATATTTAAATGTAGTAAGGTAATGAAGGGTTTGGTAATCTGTGTGGATAATTCCAAAGAGCTCAATGTGAAACCAGAGCAAATATTAATTAAATAATGAAGAAATAGACAACCTTAAGTTTCCATGGCTATAAATTATAGTCATGGAGACTTAAAGTTGTCTATTTCTTAATTTTATATATATATATATATATATATATATATATATATATATAATATGTTTGGCATATGAGGGTCAAACAGATCAGTTCCCAGGAAACCGACAGCCCGACAACAGCACATGAGAATTGATTATAGTGGTGAAGGTTTCATGCAGGACCATCCACACTTTTTGAAGGGCTGAATTCAGAGACCTGGTGCACTGTGCCACAAGGTCCCCAAACGACCCTCCACAGGTTTTGAATTCAGAGTTTTCCTTCTCCTAGACCAGTTGCCATTCAAGGCTATAGAACCCAGTCTGTCCTGCTATTTATCCATAGCTGGAGGAAGAAGAGGATTCATACCTTTCCCAAGGGTATTAGCACATAAGTGAATGTAATGGATTCGACTGGAATTCGAACTCGGCTCTCCGATATCCATTACTCCACCGTGCCTTATATATATATATATATATATATATATATATATATATATATATATATATATATATGAGAGAGAGAGAGACACTGCTTTTAAATTTTAAAGAAAATTCAATTTTAAGAACTGTTTACAAATGTGTGTTTTTTATTTTTATCTGTTTTTCTTTTGTTAGTCTGCAAACATCTTCTATCACAAGGTGAGAAGCAAGATGAAGACTCTCTTGGGGGTCAGCGACGGATGGAAATGCTACAAATGCTCTGTGCTATGAACCCTACAGAAACGTTGACTGTTCGTTCCTTATGCGTAAGTAAAAAGAAATATATGAATGTTGAATGAGCAGTGTAATTCCTATCAACCTCACTTTGTCAAGCAACCTGACACTACAGGCTTCTCCTATTATTGAAGTCAAGTTATTAACTTAATGCATTTTTTTATTTTTGTTTATATGCGGGAGAAAATTGAATTTAAAAAAAAGTTTGAGAAATATTTGCACATACTTAATGATGTAGAAAAATGAGTGTCAAATTGAATAAATATGAACTTGACAATTTATTTTGTTTATTTCTTGTTAGGTACAACACTGCACAATGCCGGGCTTGACTATTTGCTTAACATTGTTTATGGTTCAAACCAAAAGTGAACTTGAAGCAGGAGATGAAGTCATGGAGACAGATGCTGTCCAAAGTAAGAGTGATCTTTTGGCTTTTATCACTGGATTACTCCTTGGAACTGACCAGAATGTCCGAACTTGGTTCTCACAGTTCATCAAAACAGGACAAAAAGTAAGGGACTAACACATTATGATTTTTTTCATATTTTAGCTAGAATCAAGAAAAAAAAAACCTGTAAGACTTAAAAATTACCAAGGGTTTTTCAGGGAAGTGCAGGTGGTGTAATAGTGGCTTGGAATGAGAAATTGGAGAGCTGAGTTCAAACTCAAGTCTGGTTTGTTACATTCACTTACATGCAAATACCCTTGGGAAAGGTATGAATTCATCTCTTCTTCCCAGTTATGGGTTAAATAGTAGGACTTGTAGAAAAATAAAATCATTGTTATTCTTTAAAAAAATTGTTAATGCAATATTCACTCACAAAAAAAAATTACAATTCAAAATATATTTTGGTTTTAAATAACACAAAGAGTTGATAAACTGTAAAAAAACAACCATGTTTTTTTTTTTTTTTTGTGAATTTTTGGGGATTTACATTCACTTTTGAGTTTGCTTCAAACTTTAAAAGGGTGTGTATAAATGGTTGGCAGTTCAGTGACACCAAGAGTATTTAATTTGTGAGTCAAGTTGAAATTTATATTCAACACACTGTGTTATGGTTCATGCAACCACTTTTTGTTACAGTGCTTTTCAGTGTATCTGAAGATCAGTTTTATGATGACGGCAACAAGTTTAATTTGAATAGGGTTTTATTCTGGTTTAAAAAAATGTGGCATTACTTTTTGATTAAGTTAATAACTTAAACATTCCTCCCTCTCTTAGACACCCCATGGAGTATAGGACCAGAGTCTTACCATGCCAGCTGCTGCTGCTGTATTTCCATAGCAAGTAGATTTTAGATTTATTTTCATAGCAAGTAGTTTTTATTTTTTTTTATTTTTAGAGTTTCCAGTCTTATGCTCAACTGGTTTTGAATTCAGAAACTCATTCTCCTAGACTAATTTCCAATCAAGGCTATAGATCCCAGTTTGGCTCATAAGATGAGAAAAGATGGATTTATGCCTTTCTCAAGAGTATTTGTGTGAAAGTGAATACCAAAAATTTTACCACAGTTTGAACTTGGCATGCTAATTCTATTTTCTATGTCAATAACAGCTATGCTACATGCACATCCTGAAATCTGTGTCTTGTTAAATATTAAATCATTCCACAGTAAGTGTATGTTTTATTAATATGTACATTCTTTCTTCTAAGAACACATTTAATTAGTTGGCTTTAAGAGATTGTTACCTTTTTAATTACTTGTTTTTAAAAATATTTACATTATATAAAAATAATTTCCACATTTTGGAATAAGAAAAAGTAACTTGCTGAATTTAAATTACCAAACACGAAAGAAAGTAAATTGTATTGTTCAAAGATTTTCAATGTTTTCTTGTATGATCTTTCTGACTCTCTCAAGATCTGAGATGTTTAGCATGATCTCAAATCATATTTGCTGTTTTTTATGTACATATAGTGAAGCACTGGTTCTTGTTCGATCAATGAAGTTAAGCAGCCTGGTCAGTACCTAGAGTGCCCCTTGGGAATACCAGGTGCTGTAAGCTTGGATGTGTGGGTGGTGTAATGGATAAAAGCTCGAAATTGTTAAGTGGAGAACCAAGTTCTAATTTCAGCCAGGTTAGTTATATTCACTTAATACGTCCCATTAGGAAAGGAATCCATCTCTTTAGATTTGGCTCTCCAATTTCTCATTCCAAGCTGTTATCCATTACAGAATCTGCACAACCAAGCTTACAGCATCTGGTATTCCCAAGGGGTCACCCATCTAGGCACTAACTAAGCTCAATATTGCTTAACATTGGTGATCGAACGAGAACTAGCTTTTCAATGTGATATGGCCATAAGCACATTTTATGAATAGCTTTTCTTTTAATATTTTGAGTAGAAAAATTAATCAGTTATGTGCTTGCTTTTTTTTTTTTTATCCATATAAGATCTGCCATACCCAATTATGTTGTCTCTCCTCTCATTATGGCTTTTCAATTCTTTTTCTAACTCTTATCGTTCAATATTTGGGGATTTGCTGTTTTCTTTACTAAAACTACTTTGGATGTTGTACTTTTGTCTTTCTTTTTGTTCTATTGAAAAGCAAATAATGCTTTTAATCATTTCCATTTTTCCCTCTCCAGAGAAAGAAAGGCAAAGCATTGTTGTTGTCTTCTCTTCGACAAACCCTCTTAAAGGAACTCCTGGACGTTGTGCCGAAGCCTAATGAAACCATTTCAGAAAACCAAATCCTCAATGCCAGTTCTTTTGTCAGACTTTATTGTGCCCTGAAAGGAATGGCTGCTTTCAAGTAAGCAAATTATTTCTATCCTTAAGATGAAAAAATAGTTCCATAAAATCGTTTTGTTTCACTTATTATATACAGTCACCCCCACTTATTTGGAAGGGATAAGTTTAAAGACCCCCCCCCAAAAAAAAACACACACACACACACACTTTCATGAGTGAATGTCTAAATCCACAGACAACACTGAATGTGTGTAAACATTTAGGTATAACTAAAAATATACCTGTAAAAAGACTATGAATAAAAACAAAAGGAAAAAATTAATTTTCTCATTTTTCTTTGCTAGACATTAAATTATATCACTTAGCATCCTCCATAATTTACCTTGACTTTCAGTTAATCTGAAATATATTTGAGATTTCTTAATTTGAAAAATTCTGAAAAACTAATGACATTTTTACTTCTGTGTATAATTACTTGTTGCAAAATAAAATCCTTACATTTGTCTCATCAGAGGAAAAATGTGTCCATTTAGCTTTTCCTTTTGTCTTTAGTTTTATATAAATATATATAATGTTTGGTTAAAAGCCAACAAACATTCTTTAAAGATTTTTTTCTATTTTTATTTTGTGTATATATTTAAATATAAATTGTACAATGTCTGATTACTTTCAGCTTTCATAAGCCATTAACAAAGTGTCTTTTTGTGCTGTGTTAGTTTCATCATTTTCATATATATATATATGCTTTATATACTGTGTAGTGTTACTCCCTTGAAACATAGAGATTATTTATAAACAAAAATACAATTCACTGTGCCTACCCCCTCCTTTTTAATCATATTGCTTGGTCCTTATGATTTATAATTTAACTTAAATTTTTTTTCCCCAACAGAAATACATGTACCATTAGAAGTTTAAGCTTGCATCATTTTTATTGCTTTATATTTCCTAATATCTCTCTCCATATACTCTGTTTTGAATTTACACCCCAATAATATATTGGGTTTATACTAACTTTGAGCTTTGAATCTGTGTATAATTTAGTGTTCCTCCCATGAGACTCAGTATTTAAAAAAAAAAAAAAAAAAAACTGTAATAAGCGACTCATTTGTCATATGTGCCTGATGACTTTGGAAACAATGAAACTTTAAGTTGCACTACAAATGTAGGTATATGTGTTTATATATTATTAATATATACTTCATAGCTCTGTTTAACTATGTTGAGCACTGTTTTGTTTGCATCATAAATTAAATATTTATTTGCTTATCTGCATATGCATGCTATCGCACAAATATACAATTACTAATATCACATTATTTAGTTTCTATTCACACTTCTCTCTCTCTCTCTCTCTATATATATATATATATACACACACACATACAGTTTGTAAATTTTTTCCCTGATAGACTGGCATCTGTTATGTAAATTTTACTCTTGTGAAAAAAAATTTTATGATGGTACCAGTCTATTGTCAAAGCAAAAATTTCCAAAATTGTCTTGTTTTGTGTCAGATTCTCATCTAACTTTACTCATATATTTTTGTCTGTGCATCTATAAGCATCAAAAATTTTTATATATAATTGATTCCAACAGTAAAACCTATATTGTCTGAAGTTCTATTTCACAAACACATCACTGCATAGATCTCCATCTTGTTATCATCACTAGGTATCTTTTGTAGACATGAACTGACTGAGATAGGTAGATTAAAATACGTACATACATACACACATATAGTGTGTATGTATGTACGTATATTGCTTAGTGATCCACTATGTAAACTAAACAATGACAGACTATCATCACTGTCGTGTCCGTATATTGTTTGATATGTTTGTAATTACATCTTTGATAATGGCTTGAGTAAGCCGAAAGCTTAGATTATATTAAAAAAATAATGGATAAATATTGTGAATTTCTTTTTTCGGTTAATGATAATGTTATCAAACTTATCAGAAGATATGAAAAAATTTTACATAAAATAAATAGACAACACTTGTCTATATTATTTAATGAAACGTGTATAAATGAAAATATGCTGCCTAAATACACACAATATATATATATGTGTACATGCATACATGTGGATTTATGCCTTGACGAATAAGACTTCATTAATCATCACATGATCATAAAATGTCTTTTTGTTTTTTTTTCAGATTCACAGACATGGAAATGAAAGTTTTACTGAACTTAATTACCTCTCATTCGCCACTGACGGCAGCAGGAGCTAGATTTGTTTCCCTTGGACTCTGCTTACTTATCTCCTGCCCTTACCTCATGCCGTAAGCTCTTGTCTCTCTCTCTCTCTCTCAAATGTCGCTTGCCCTTACCTCATAAGTTTGTCTTTCAAATGTCTTTTTCCCTTACCTCATGCTGTAAGTTCTCATCTCTCTCTCTCTGTCAAACGTCTTCTGAAAATATTGTTTTATATAATTAATTGAATAGACTTTCTATTAAGACAGAAACTTCATTCAGTTAATTACATTAATAAAATTATGACTCTAGTTATTGCAAATAAATCATTTTTGGTGTGGATGCATACAAAGCATATATCTGATTGGCACAAGCCAAGAACACCAAGTCGTGATATAATTCACCACAGCAATTATTTATTTAACTTACACACTCACAAAGCTATAAGTGTGGGACACCAAGTTAGAACCAAGCATACTAGAGTAGTGACATTTATTTGTTAGCCATTGTTCTATACCAAGCCACCTTCTCAAATTTTCTGGATTGTAAATTTTACTAAAATTTAAGTTATTTTGGATAGATTAGATTCTTTCAAAAAACATTTACAAGAGCAGTAATATTTGATTGAAAAATACTTCATTCCTCAAATGAAGCAAATATATATGATCCATCACTAAAGATGCTGGAAAAAGGGTTGGTTCCTTTTACCACTCCAGCAAGTACCAGACTCCTCTTGCCACAAGACACAGATCAAACCAGAAATGGAGTATTGTTTCCCTATCTCGGTTGGAGCTGCCCAATCATCATTTTCCAGCTTTGATAGAGTTCAAAAAACATTTATATGGCCATGTGGGTGATGACATCGATCTTACAGGGCCTTTCACACAGGCACAATATTGTGAGACTCACTGCTTCCATGACAAATGTTCAGACATGGTTCATTTTTTAGCATCTCCATTTCAGACTTTGCAGCTGACCCCTAGCTATGTCCACAGGGTTGAATTCCTCTCATTCCTTACTCTTTCCTTTGGAAAGAATGGCATTCCACTTTGAAAGCATCTTCCCAAAGAACTGTTACTTTGTGGAACAGACTTCTACGTGAATTCTTCTTAACCTCTTCAAGTTTAGGGTCATTTATTATCTATCTGCCATATACTTGTAATCTTCATGGCTTATGGCTGTTTCACCTTGAAAATCCTGTAAAATCACCAAATTTAAGCAATCTCAAGCCTGAATGAGTGACTATTTGGAAATACCAGGTGCTATGCAGTTGGTGTAATAGATAATGGCACAGAATTGCTAATCAGAGAGCTGAATACCAATTCCTGTTGGTTTCATTATATTCACTTACATGCAAATACCTTTAGGAAAGCTATGAATCCAACACTTCACCCCTCATATATAGGTTAATTAGTAAGACTCGAGTCACTAAACCATTATTAACTCAAAAAAACAAAATTCTTACAATCTAACAAAAATATTTTCAGGCTTTAAATAACCTGCAAAGGGTTGACAAGCTGTAGAAAATGAATCAAGTAGTCATTTTTATTTTCTGTCAATTGTTATTTTACATTTTGGCATTAGCCTGATAAAGACATTGACAAAAGAACTTGTTGCAATCAGGTTGTCTTTATAGATTTGTAAATTGTGACTAGTTTTTATCTTTCAGATCCCAAGAACAAGAACGTCAAGTGGTTGAATGGATTCGATGGCTCATGAAAGTCGGGGACTCGTTTGACAAGTGAGAAATATTTCTTTGGCCTTTTTGCATCAAGCATTCTCTTACACTTATGATGAACCATTGATATGTTTTATCTGTAATTCTAACATTTCTCAGGGGTAGGGGGCTATGCTTACAGCCATATCATGTTGAAATACTAGTTCCCGTACGATCACCAAAGTTAAGCAAAATCAAGCCCTAGATGGGTGTCCACTTGGGAATACCAAGTGCTTTAAGCTTGTTTGTACAGGTGGCATAATGAATAATGACTTGAAATTGCAAGCTGAGTTCCAATTCTAGTTGGGTTCATTATATTTATGTACATGTAAATACCTTTGGAAAAGCTATGAGGATCTAAGTCTAGTGAATAAAGTGGATGGCCCATTTTTCTAATGGATTTTCTAACATTTGAACTTTTAATGCATCATGTGCCAGAGCATTGACATGATACATGCCAGAAATTTGGTCTTATCTTCCAAACATTCTTGCAACCCTTTTAGCACTTCTGAATATGCATTTGCATCATCTTCACACAAACCTTGATGTTAATCCACTGTTACAGATTCATTTCACTCATTTTCTTCCCGCAGTATAATATGAGCACATACAACTTCCTCTACTACTCAGCAGTGCATAACTCATCTGCTGTGTCTCAAGAAAGTGGAAGTTGGAACATATTCAGACATGCTTGGATACAAATATCTGTTTGACACATTATTCACAGCGCCATGCTGTAGTTATTTCAGGAATTGTCACACTTTGTATATTGTTTGTCACACAGAGAATGTCTGATGTTTCCTTTGCAAAGTTGTAGCTAGTCTTGGAGACCATTATTGTGCCATTGCTTCACAGTGTCATGTCAGTATTAATTGCTGGAATTTGGATAGCAGTTAAGTTTTTGTAAAAGAAATTCATTTGCATGAGGATCCTCGCAAACATTACACTCTTTTAAAGTTAACTCTGTTCAGAGCAGTTGTACAATACATTCAAATAATTGCTCTGTGGGATGTGTGTTCTTGTGTGTCTTACAATAATTGTTTTAAGAAAAAGGGGGGAAAAGACCTTTATTCATGTTTGTATCTTCTTTTTCTCTTGCTACAGAGAAGCTGGCAGTACTTCCTTTGGAGAACTTCTCTTCCTTATTGCTATACACTTTCATAGCAACCAAACTTTTGCCATTGCTGATCTTGTATGTGCAACACTTGGCATGAAGGTAACACTGTTCTTTTAATGCAGTTTAATCAGATGACATTGGAATTGTGTCTTTATCTTTTGGGGAGGGTGAAATAATTTGAAATGAATTGGTCTTGAATGCACACCAATCATACATTACCTTAATCTCTTCTGAATACTACAATAAATATAACCACACATTTTGCCCACACTCTCACTCTCTCTCTCTTTGTTGTTGTTCCTCTCTCTCTCTCTCTTTGTTGTTGTTCCTCTCTCTCTCTCTCTTTGTTGTTGTTCTCTCTCTCTCTCTTTGTTGTTGTTCCTCTCTCTCTCTCTTGTTGTTGTTCCTCTCTCTCTTTGTTGTTGTTCCTCTCTCTTTGTTGTTGTTCCTCTCTCTCTTTGTTGTTGTTCCTCTCTCTCTCTTTGTTGTTGTTCCTCTCTCTCTCTCTCTGTTGTTGTTCTCTCTCTCTTTGTTGTTGTTCTCTCTTTGTTGTTGTTCTCTCTCTCTCTTTGTTGTTCCTCTCTCTCTCTCTCTTTGTTGTTGTTCTCTCTCTCTCTCTTTGTTGTTGTTCCTCTCTCTCTCTCTTTGTTGTTGTTCCTCTCTCTCTCTTTGTTGTTGTTCCTCTCTCTCTCTCTTTGTTGTTGTTCCTCTCTCACTTTGTCATCATTGCCCCTCCCACCTCTTTTCCTAGCACTTTACTCCAGTCTCTGTTTTTGTCTTTACATCACTCTCTTTAATCTATACTCTCTTTCTACACTGCTCTCTCTGTCCCCTCTCTTTTCTTTTTCCAACACCATCTCTTCCTTTTATGCAAAGCTGACCTCTTTTCAACCTGTAAAGTAAATAACTATAATTTAGAATGTAGATGTAGCTTTTGACTCTACTGAAGTTTGGATCTCATATTCTGGAAGATCATCACAGGTTAATTTAAAAAGAACCATTAAAGTTGTTTATTCCAATTTCACACTGTTTGAATGAATAGTCAATTAGCTAAAAATTTTGTGATATAATGCAAAATAAGAAAAAAATTGGTCAAAATTTGATAATGAAAAGTATTCATTTCACAACCTCAAAACAATTTTAACCAGACTTAATTATTTGGTATGCTCTTTTCATACATTCACAATGTGTTGAATATATTACACCCATTGATATTGTTAATTTTTTTAAACGTGTATTGACCTAAGTGCGCCAATTATAGTTTTGTATTTTGTCCTCTAAAATGCACTTCTTTAAACTTTGTATGGGACAGAAAATTTTTTAGATAAACAATATCATTAACTTTGTATATCATGTCAGTCCTTTCTCTCCTTTTCCCAAAGTCTCTGGCTTGTCATGATTGTTTAAAACATCAAGTGGTTTCAATCTTTATCCAAAAAGGTGTGTACTTAACAATTTGAAATCTTTCAGTTTTCTCACACTTGCTACATAACATTGAAACATCTTGACATGTTCTTAACATTAAAGCCAAGCTCCAAACCTTTTTCACCATACTGCTAAAAAGATTTTAAACTGAAAGTGAAATATTTTGGTGGGGGCTTTTCAACTTTAAGTAGCATAACAAAAACACCATTAAATTATTTAGGAAATAAATATTTATTTTGATCCATTTATTGTTAATGCAAGTTGAGCAGGTTGTAACAAAAATAAAAAAGCTAAAATATTAAAGTTTTAAAACTAAATACAAAAACATTTTAGTTAAATTTTATTGTAATTTTTATTTTAAAAATCACATTTTTTAATTAAACAAATCAGTTGAATCAATTTGAATAATTTTACATGGAAATGTTCTTATCAATTAAATTTTATAGTACTAGATTGGCAAGAAAGTCTCATCATTTTACAGTTGAATTGGCTAGATGTAACCATAAGTTCTGTGCTAAGTTTCTTTTCTCACACTTCTCACTTGTGGAACTCTCTTTTGGCTCCATGCTTTCCAGACAACTTTAATCTGCAAAAAAATTTAAATTCAATATCATTTGGTAACTACTGTCTTCTTGATTACTCTTTTATTGTTCTTGCTCCTTAGTAACGTTTTTCATTGTTTTTATTCTATCACACTCTTTCTATCATACTTTGCATCTTAGTGACTTTACTGCCTTGCATGGGGTGAAATGATTTAAAAAAATAGTGGAACTTATCTTGCTTTAGGGATTGTGCTTTATGCATTCATAAAGATTATTCGTGCATTTCAATCTCATAAAGTATTTAGCCTTTACCAAGAAACTTTCATTTACAATTACCTACTTCATGACTGAGTTTTCCATGTTTATCTTCTTTTTTTTTAAATTGTTCCTTGTATTTTCAATTTAGAAGAAAATGTAACACACAAATGTTGTTTGTTCAGTGGTTCATTGAATTATTTTTAACCAAAGATTGTCAGAAAATATAGAATTTTTTTGTCTTGTTTATTAAAGCAAAACTAGTTCTGCAATTACATCCTAATATTTTTCATGTTTTCCGGGTGGTGCAGTGGATAAAATTCTTACAATCTAAAAATATTTTTTGGCTGCAATGGGTTTATAAGCCATAGAAAATCAGTCGATCATTTTCCCTGTCTGTAGATAATACAAATATCTAAATTTAAGTCCTTCAGACTTCACTTTTCATTTGTATTTCATTCAAGTTTACAAGAATCACTTAAGTTTTATTTTTATTTATATTTTTGTGTGGGCTTCGTTTATTAAAACCTGTCACTATTAAAGAGAAGTAGGAACTTTTTGGCAAAATTTAACCTTTGTACTTGCAAAAGGACAGTTATTCCCTTGACACCACTATTACTGTATACTTCCTTGACTCCCTCAGCAGTGTTTATTGTTTTAAAAAGTGATGATTACAATTTTAATAAAACCCAAACATATGAAAGTAGATTTATTCATTTTCTTTGTTCTTGTGAATATTTATTTATTAGATTCATTATTTACAAGAATAATTTTATGTTTACAAGATTATAAAAATATGTGAACCAACAATTTATCATTTACCATTTTATAAAGAAATGAATATGATGTTTTATTCATAAATTTATAAAAATGTCTGTGAACAAGAAAATTTAAATAAACATATATGGACAAATAATTATGAATTTTGAAAAAAAAAAACATTATGCTATCATTATCAATAAATCATGGCAATTCACAATAATAATAATAATAATAATGTTAATAATAAATAAAAGCCATGATCCCCTATATTCTAAAGAGACATTGCGTTAAAAAAAAAAATAAAAAGAGAAAAAAATTATTTCTTTCTTCTTTCCTTCTTGCAGAGTGCAGTCAAGTCAAATGCCTTGACAAAGCTTAGACAGATTTTTACTCAGGAAATTTTTACAGAACAGGTATGTTTTTATTTTTCCATCTAAATAAGACCAACTGATAAATTTATAATTTTTAGATGAGTAAAAAATTTTATTTGAAGTATTGGTTTGAAATTAATCAATAAGCCATAGAGCTTTTTGAAAGTGATCAATGTTTAATTCCCTGCAGGCAAATGAATTAAATTTTTTTTTTTTTTTTATCTGAAAAATTAAAAATTATTAATTGTTAATGTAACCCATAATAGGATTCATTAAATGTCAAAACTGTCCCTTCACTTTAATGTTTACATCTGTCTAATTTTATTTGAAGAGGTAGGAAAAATGAAGCAGGTTAAATTTTTGTGTTAACTGCATTTGTTTCTGATCCTGATAAACTTTTGATTATTGCCCATTAAATTATTATCACCCCCCTCCCCACTTTACCTATTTTTGGAAAGAACACACTAAATGTTTCTGGTGGACTGAGTTGGTGTTAAAAATTAAATACTATAATCTCTCAGGTAAAATGTGTTTAGGCAATTTTTAAGTCCATCTGTTTCATACAATGGCATCCATATAAATTGAAGTGCCAAAAAAAATTAGACTATATACACTTTCATACCAAATATAAGTGGTGTCAGGAATAGGCAACATGGTAGGAATTTTTTAACTTACAAAATAAACTGCTGAGAAATTTTGTATGAACATAAAACCAAAGAATAATTATGCTGTTGAGAAAATTCTATGTAAAATAATAAGTATGCCATACCAAATAAATACCATCCCTACATGCAAGCTGCTAGTGACCCGCTAGCTGTCCACCAATGGCAATGCCAGCAATCCTCTGGTGGCAGCCACAGGCAGGCCTCTAATGGTCTGCCAGTGGTAACATTGCCGAGACAGTGGGCCACCAGCAGTAAACAATAGGGGCATGCTACCCAGTGGCAAATTGGTGGCTTGTGTGTAGGGATGCCAGGGGTGGGTGATTGAAGCATTTTGGTACACAAGAGCAGCTGTGGCAGCTGTAACAAGGCTTAATACCATTTGATCATTGTATGAGTGTTCTAGGTTTTTTTTTTTTTATCGGGCTACTGAAAGAAGAGTAAAACTTTAAGCACCCACAGGGGATGCAAGAGCATAACCCCCACTCCAACAACTGATGAGGACGGTAAACATACAATAGAGAAGATCATCGTGTGAAATTACATAAGCAATATATGGCATACACTACTTTCTGTGGAGAGTCATGATTGCCTATGACTTGAAGAAGCATGACACTTGTGATGTCAGTATAAACTATCACCTATTTTGCTTTCATCATCTCACCCCAAACAAGGTGATGGAAGCACTAAGTCGCAAGAGGTTACTGAGTGTGAAGGGAACTGAGAAAATGTTATTAAGAAGAAAGGACAATGAAAAGAACAGGATCCAAAAAGTCAGATGATGACACCTGATGTTGCATTTAAATTTTTGAAGATTGTAGTTGACAAGAAGCTGGAGGAAAGTTCCCCAGGTGAGAAGTGCAAGAGAAGAAACTATTAGAATAGAACTTGCAGTTACACTTAGTAATTTTAACAGTAAAATGATAAGACCTAGCTACCAATCTAGAACTATGCTTAAATTCATGCAGTCAAGGTACCAAAAAGGAAAGCTCATCAAAACAATTGCCATGGAAATATTTGTAGAAAAAACACAGGAAAGCTCTGTTACATTATATTACATATATATAAAAAAAATTGTAATTTTAATGGAATAAATGATATTTTTGCCATTATTTTACATGGGGTTTTGGTATTGTCAACCAAAAACGGTACCATTATTGACTCCAAGACATGAGTTACACACCTCACCTGGGCCAAAAGGCATTGACAATGCAACAAGATGGTGATATGTGTTGTTCCAGTAGGAAGATACTCACCAGTATGATATGCATGCCATTCAACATTCTCTGTATCAAGTGGAACAATTTCTCTAGCCAGCATGAGTACCAGACCTGTCCACTATTGAATATGTATCAGACATGATGGGACAATGCCTGACTCACTTAAATAGCCCACTTGCTATATTCTTGCTGTATAGTGTCAACAGGTGAAACTCAGAGATAAATTGTATATTATTCTTAAATGAACATTTGATTAAGAAACCTGTGGTATTTTAATTTTTAAGCAAGCAGCAACATTTACAATATTTGGTGAAATATATGAACGATCCCCCCACCACCACCACCACGACCAACAACTCAAAAATATCTTCCAGGCCTTGTGTGCAAAAAATGAGATATCTGATAGGCTAATCTTTTCCCAGATGCCATATTCTACCTGCAATATTAAATGTAAATGAGACATGGTTTTATACGCTATCAAATACAGAGTTTTTAGTAGTAATGAAGATTCAAATATTTGCTTTTAGGTTTCCAACACAAATGCATGTCATTTATATTTGAATGCAATGAATAACTTCAGTTTGAAATCTCTGCTTCATGAAACTCTTCATGCTTAACAGGTAATCACAACCCATGCTGTGAAAGTACCAGTGACACCACAGCTAAATGCCAACATTGCTGGCTACCTTCCCGTTCACAGTATCTACCAATTGTTAAAGTCCTGTTCATTTGCTAAACACAAAGTCCCGATCAAGGTAAGTTCTACATGTTCATCATTTTTTAAATACTTGGACATTTTTTTTATTACTCAACCTGAACATTTGCACAGACACTGCAAAGTTGCACAAAAAAGAATTTACTTAAAATTGCAAAAGATTTGTAAAAGAATACTAACTGGACCCAGAGGAAATTTTACAGTTGACAGGGTGAGACTTGACATATTGTCTGTATATATTAAGAGGGATAAATTGTAAGCACTCATTCAATAACCATATGGGCATATATACTGCATTATAAAACTTTTTCAGATATAATATGATATCTTGATTTTATGAATTTAAGTCTAGTACTAGACTGGCAGCCAGGTTTCATTATTTTACAGTTAAAATGGCTAGATGTAAATTTAAGTTCTATACTAACAGTTTCTTCTGTCACACTTCTTGATTGTGGAACTCTATTCCAACTTGTGTCCCAGTCAACATTGATTTTTGGAATTTTAAATGCAATTTTGATCATTGTCTTCTATCTTTTAATTCCTGTTCTTTTATTGTTCTCTCCTTAAGTGTTTTTTTGGGGGGAGGTGGGGGTCTCATATTCTCTCACACCCAGTATCCCCCTGCATCTTAGTGACTTTATTACCTTGTTTGGGATGAAATGATTAAAGGGGTTTTATGAAATCTATTTCGTTTTAATTATTTAGAGCAGAATCCATGGAAATTCCATGGTTTTTACTAATTGTTGAAATGAATCGTATTGGACTGGCATATTTCATATTACTACACCATTTCACCAAAGCAGACATTAAATACACGAGGATGTCATCATTTCCTTTACTTCCCTGTTTTTTACTTTCTAGAAACACATATAAGCTCCACAGATTGACAGATGTTTAAAAAAAAGAGCTTGATTTACTCTGTCTGCTGCAGCTATTCCAAGAATTTGAGGGTAGAGGACAGACAAGATAAATTTATGGGCAGGGGACAGTCAAGATATTACAAGGTGTAACTTACAGGTATAAGTAACTAAGGAACAAGCTGAATGATTCTGGGATCACTTGCTCTTTTGATTGGTTTAGCCGGGATGATGTTCAGTTACCAAATCTAATAGGAGACATAACCCATGGCTAAAACATGTTCCAAACTGTCATGTGAAAATTGATGTTAATGCATTTACAAGTCTATGTAGTCATATGAGTGTAGAATATTTTCTTAAACTTTATTAATAAAATGAATTCTTACATCTTTCCTAGTTTCCTTAACTGACCCTAAAGTACAACAGTTTACAACAAAATATCTGAGATTGCCTTAGTTGGGTGGATGTTCAATTGACAGAACTTGTGGGAAGGAAGTTCCCATGTACCCACAATAAATAAACAGAATAAAAATATAGTGGATGACTAAAATTATTAAAAAAAAGTTTAATAAAATGAATGATAAATGATAAAATAAACTGATAATTTTGTTTATTTTATTGATTTTCTTCTCTGACGTTGTTCTGTTCTCTTCCAGGATTGGATCTATAAGCAGATCTGCAACAGTTCAGTACCACTGCATGCCAAACTCCCACCACTGATTGAAGTTTATGTCAATTCAATCATTGTTCGAGGAGCAAAAACAGATTATCTGAATGAGCCAATCACAGAACAGGAGGTTCTGGATGTCTTCAAGGAATCTGTGTTCACTGTACGTTCTAACCATAGGCCAGATGTTGACCAGCAATGCTTAGCCCCACAATTGCTCATTCTTTACTACATGTTGCTTTATGAAGACTGTATTTTGATCAACATGAAAAACCTTGGTAAGCCTTATTGTGTTTGCTTTTAATTTGGGAACAGTTATTCAAAAAGTTGATAGAAGGATAGTATGTTAACATTAAAATTATTATACAATGATCCTTTTGAACTAGCATCCTATTCTTTGTTTTTGTTATATAATTTTTTTTCTTGCTATTTTACTTTTCAGAGTAGTTGTTATATTTTCATGTACATTTCATGCACTAAATAACTATTATGGAACAGAGGTAGTGCTATTCTACTATCACTGTCCCAGAATACTTGCTATGCTTAGGTTGTTCTGGTGATATGTTGTTTGAATGTTATTTTTTTTTATATATGTAATTTTTTTGAGTTAAAAAGGGCATCACACGATGACAGCTGGATTATAATATTACAAATAAAGTCATATAAGAGATACAACAAAATAAGTATAGAAATAAAAATAAATTGCTTTAGTATACATTTCAGAGAAATGATTCTATATTTTAAAGAACATATATGTATACAGAAAGAAAGAAATTTTGCTTATCTGTTGGTTGTCAACATGTTTTTTCAAGCATGTCCAGAATGTCTTTCTTTAGCAGTTGAAAAACAGACAGTCTTTTGATTTTTTTTGTTTCTTTTGGCAGTAAAACACTTGTCCCGTCTTACTGCCAAAAAATGCATTATGGGAGTATTCTATATTTTATTTAACTTTTATTTATTTAATCTAACTTTCTTTCTTTATTGTTAATTAACTGTATTTTAATGTATTTTTATTGCTTGACTTTTAATTTTTATTTTTATTTTCTAATTATTTTGGTTCCAGACTACTACATAAGGGTTGGTGGTTATTTAGTAATTTATTTTTTGCTATCACTACACTTGTATAGACATTTCATATATTAAATGTGGCAATCATTATGGAACAGAAGTAGTACTATTTTACTGTCACTGTCCCATAATAGTTGTTACATTTGCATATACATTTCATACACAAAATGTATCACCTATTATGGGATAGAGATAGTATTTTTCAATTATACTGTTATCAAGACAAAATTACAATCAATATTTTCTTTAATGTATTGCACCAATTAAACTTGCTAATAGAAATAAATTTAGAAAACACTTTCTTGTTTTGTAAAATTGTACTCTCTTCATTTGTAAAATGTGAGATGAATTTCATAATCTATATATTCATCTGTCTTTTAAGTTTTCCTAAGTTATTTCTGTGAGCCTCATTTGGCAACTTCTATATAATAATTAGTTGCTTCATAATCTATTATCATATCAAAACTAAGTTTTTGACTTTAATACATTTTCATAGTCTACTAAAATATTGAATTAAAATTCTTCCTTGGTCTCCTTTCAGATCCAAACTCTTTACCAATTATAGTCTTATAAATTTCACAATGTATTTTTTTTTCTTTCTTTCAGTGACATTTAATCGTAAGGTGAAGACCTACCCAGAATATGTAATGGAACAGATTCCTATCAACTTCCTTATTCAAGAGGCTCAGAAAAATCAACAACTTTATGCAGGACTTTTCTCTCCGCTCCTCAAGTTTGTACCATTTTTAGATTTACTTTTATCACACATGACACAAAGAATTGGAATGTTTGCAAGATAACTCAAGAATAGCTTAATCTGGACACAGTTTTTTTTTATGTATGGATGTGACTTAATTTTGAGGCACTTTAAAAAAAAAAAAAAAAATTACTTTCATTTTTATTTTCATTACTATTGTAACTATCTGATTTTTATGTTTGTTAGAATAACATCACAAAACAGCACATTGTAGCACAGTCTTAGTAAGCACAATACTGTTGAGGTACTTGAAGAATAAAGAAGTTTCCAGTCCAACTGAGCTGCAGGCTTCTAAGAAATGATTAGATAAGTATAAATTGATATGTAAAAAGTCTTTTCAAATGAGATAACTTCATGTTTATTAACTGCTAATTTCAAAGTTGTTTCCGTTGAGGTGTTTGTTCTCTTCTCTGTTGTCCACACTGGCAAACCAGTGTATTACCTTTTAATAATGATAATCAACACTTGTAAATAATCATAAAATTTATAAATAGGAAGTGACTCTACATTGAACAGGAGTCACTGAAAGTGACATTTAAACAAGTGAAAAATAGATCAGATTTTCCATTCCAAATGTTGTTTTAGAAATTAATTGATCCTCTTCTTTGTTTACTTGATGTTGTTAACATGATATTTTTGGGTGATCCATTCTTCAATTTTCATCAGGTGTATATTCCGAGAGCAGAAAGGAATTTTTTTTTTTTTTTTTAGTAGGTGGGGTATTTTTTTTTTTTTATAAAGCATATAATGAATCAGCCTTGATATTTTGTTCACACCATAAAGAATATAAAAGAATTAAATTAATTGTCCAGTATATTGACAAGTATTCATCTCTGAAATGAAATATTAAATTATGAAAAGTGATATGGAGTTGATTATTTGCATTACTGCCATCTAGTGGTTGGGAGTTCAATCCCTGGATCAGGTAGTGAAGCACTGATTCTGTAGGAATGAATAATAACTGACCTCACAAAATATCACAATAATTAACAATGGATGCCTGATTATGACCAGTGGTTACTTGGTCGAAACATTGTGTTTATAATGATATCTATATCAATCAAGAAATATTACAAGTATATTGACAATTACTAATTTAAATATTAAAAATTAGATGTGCTCAATGCAATAATTTCACATAATTTTTTTTATATAAATTAAATATAAATATTTTTTTTTAATTTTAAATATAAATATTTTATCATAATTCTGCTTGTCCTTCCCTTAGGATAATGGTTATGCCCTGCGAATACCTTCTAAATAAAGGATTATTCTATTTTGAATGTGTGGAAAGAGGGAAAAGACATATCAGAAATGTTATATGGTATCAGTGAGAAAATGAAAGAAGTGTTTAACATCTGCCAGAACCTCGTAAATAATGGACTATTCTGTTTTGATCATGTGGAAAGGGAAGGTAGAATTAACAGCTGTTTCAGTGAATGTCAATTTCATATCTTTTCATTTATACCCCCCCTCCTTACTTCTTAAAATAATGACCAACCTTCATATTTATGATTGTTAAAATATTTGATAAAGTTGTTAATCTCAAATATTTAATGATAGGGTAGGAGAATTTCTATGGATATTTTATTGTCGTTGAACTTGAGCTTATTCAATCACTAGCCGAAGTACCCCGTGTTGCCTGAGTGTACATAGCTGTAATTGTATAACTACACCCTCCTGTCTAGAAATGTTTGCCTGTGTCCTTGCTTGCATGCATCTTCCATTTGTATACTTAGCTACTGTCCCTCACTTCATCATTTTTACGGTATGTCCTTCACAAGTGTTTGATCGTTTTTGATAAAGAAATTCCATCAATAAAACCTTTTTGTATGGTCGTTGCTCGGGGTTGAATTGTTTCAATGTTTTACATATTCAGTAAATTTCCTATGGCCATAATCACTTTCAAATAGTATGGCATTGTTCACAAATCTAATAATCAAACAAAAACAGGGATTAAGCTTCAGAGCTTGATTCAAGTGCAAACACATGACCGCCCCCTGTTTCTTGCATGTTTACTGTAAAGTTGGTGTCAATATGAGGTTCTTTGGAAATTTTTTATACCTTTTAACGCTTCAATAATCCTTCTCAAAAAATCTTTGCATCAAAAGTGGTTCGAATGCCAATTTAGGATGGAATCACATGAAGAATCAATTGATTAAATAACAAAAGCTGATTTGGGACCTAGTTTGTCGCAGATTTCATCCACTTAAATGAAATAATCTAAACCAAACATTCATGCAAGACAATTTGTGTGTCATATGTAATTTACATGGCAAATTTGAAAAGCATCAAATTAAATACCAGGGAGTTATGGCCAAAAAAACAGGCTTTTTGGACAGTCTTTCCTGGTTTTTTGTTATATGAGGGGAAGCGAGCAAGACTAAAACCACACTTATCTTATTGCTAGCCTGATGGTAAGTTTTCTGTGACATGTTTGAAGAAAACTGGCTAAAAAATGAGAAAGTTATTTAAGTTTTTATTTTAATATGAAAACCCCAGTAATTTTTTTTCTTTTTTGCAAATTTTTGTGTAAAGCCAATGTTGCAGGAAAACTTTCAAGCACTCTACATAAACCTTGTAACATGAGCTGATTTTTTGCAATAAGTGCAAAGACCATCAGCTCATCCAATAAAAATTTTGTTTGCATATAACTTTGCCTGGGTTTTTTTGCAAAAAGTCATACCCACCTGTTAGTTTTATCAGTTTTTCTGCCAAACCTAGAGGCCTGAAGATTGAAAAGTTGGTCTTGACATAAATTAATAAAATTGCAACATGTGTGTACAATTTCAATGAAATTGGTCATGAAATGCAGACATAAATAGCATACACATACAGATCTTCTGTTTTATAGATATATAGCAGCCATACCCAACTAGTCAATCAGAAAAAGGGTTCACTTAGAAAGGAGCAAAAACAGCATCATGTTTAGATGTAACAGAGTCAATCTTCAATTACTTTAAAGTACTTTCATTAAAAAACATTTTGAATTAATGCAGTTACTGATATAACAGAAGTAGTCTGTCTTTATTCAATTGAAGTTAGCCGAGGACATGAAGGGGTAAAACTGGCAATATGAAGACCCACTTCAGACCACAATTATTTTGGAGTTTTTGACATTTAATTTGTCAGTGCACTACCAGGGATATAAAAGAGGATACATTTATGATGAAAATTAATTGAAAGTTCAACGAAAAATAAGAAAGAAACCAGTAAAAATTGTCATTTCTTGCTATTTACACAGGTTTCCACTATATGGGTGGACTTAATTATGAAGTTAAATGACTGTTAACTTATTGTTGGCTACAATTGGGTGAAGTTCATATTAGATTGCTTGAAAACTGAGGGAGTTTTTAGTTTAAAATTTGTGTTGAAATCGATTTTTCATTTTTTGTTAAACACGGCGGCATAGAAGTAAAAATGAGGTATCATTGAGCTTGTCATGATGTAAGTAACCTACATGCTTAGTTTGAACGAAATCAGAAGAAAAAAGTTGAATTCATGGATATTTGATCAGCTTTAACAATTATTGATTTTTTTTTTAAATTATCGATTTTCTTTGTGCTAAGAAACTATCTTACATTATACAAATGTATGTGGCAAGTTTGGTCAAAATCAGTTGGATGGATCTTGAGTGAAAAGGTATCACACACAGACACACAGCATCTTCTTTTTTACATATATAGGTTAACTTAAGAATTTAGTTTCATCAGAAAATTCAAATAGGAAAATCATGAAATTTTCATCTGTACTTTTAGTATCTTTTAATTTTCATGCTATTTCTTTAGTGAAACTTGTCGGCAAAGAAATCTTTTTTGATTTTTTTTTTTTTTTTTTTCCGCTTGCTAACTCCTCTTTATTGTTAACACCAGCCATAATATTGTAGATTGTGAACAATGCAAATAAAGATTATCAAATATTTCTTTCATTCAATGTATTTCATTTATTTCACTTTGCTCTAAGAAGTGGGCTTAAGGCCACATCACATTGAAACATTGGTTCCTATGCAGTCATTGAAGTTAAGCAATGTCAAACCGGGTCAGTAACTAGATGGGTGACCACTTGGGAATACTTTGTGCTGCAAGCTTGGATGTGTGGGTGCTGTAATAGGTTATGGCTTAGAATTGTTAATTGGAAAGCAGTGTTCCAATTCCTATTGTGTTCATTATATTCACTTACATGTAAATACCCCTGGGAAACATATGAATCCACTTCTCCCTCCAGCTATGGGTTAATTAGTAAGATTTGTATCACTAATCTATTATCTCAAAAAAATATGCATTCTTACAATCTAAAAATATTTTCTGGCTTTAAATAACCTGCAAAGCATTGATAAGCTGTAAAAAAAAAAAAAATCAATCAAATCTCAAAAGTAGCATGAATTTGATTAAACTTTGTTTCATTAAACTGCAATTCCAATTACATTAAATGATATATAGGTATGCATTACTTACACTAATAATCTAATCAGCTGGCATTTTTTAGTCACCCCACCCTGTTGGCTGGGGCTTCAGAATATGCTGACTGCAGAAAGGTAAAAAAAAAAACTAAAAAAATAACCTAATGAAGTGTACTAAGTATAACAATAAACTACATTCGGCAGCAAGGCCTTTGATCGGGAGGTTTTGAGAAGCATAGAACCACCTCTTAATTACTGTTGTTCCCAGTTCCACCCTGACCTAGGGTGGTAGCACCTAATAGGGTCCCAGGTATGGTCAAATAGTTAACTTCCAAACTGGGGTTAAAACACTATAAAAGTATAAAAGTAAATTTTTATAGTAAAAATACCAGCAATATTTTTTCAAAAAAATATTACCAACAATACATTTTTTGAAAATCCCCCAAAATATTACCAGCTATACATTCAAAAAAAAAAAAAAGAAATGCTACCAGCAATACATTTGACTCTCGACAAAAACCCACTTTACAAAAATATGTCAATGAAATCTGATCTACAAACTGATTTACAAACAACACATATATGAACCTATCCTAAAAATCTTGTCAGCATTAAATAACCCATTGAGGTTGCTCTGCTGTAAAACAAAATAAACCAAACCTTTGGTCACCTAAACATAATAACGTATCTGGGAAGAAATAAACAGACTAATTTTTTAGCATTTTCTCCTTTCACATGGAAACTTAAGCTTGATTTGCATGAAAATGCCACCCAGAACAGTGTTTTTTAATTTCCAAGATTTTTCAAGACTATCCCATAGTTCCATGTAACTTGACTCTGACAGGATCAACAATTAACAGTTCCCCAAAATGCTTATTATTGTTCTTTATTTCCCTGCAGGTTATTGGCCTCCCACTATCCTCATCTCTGTCTTGTAGAAGACTGGCTTGAAGAAACTGTAGCACCTGCTAGCCTTCTGCATTCACTTGGAAGAATGACCCAAACAAATCTCAACCCCCAAACATTCCAGAAAGGTAACAAGAAAATTCACATCTTTGAAACTGTTTCCTACTTTTTTTCAATCTCAAACAAATAATTCTCCGTTAGAATATTCTCTTAGAATATGCTTTCTTGAATTCACAATCCTGATTCCTGTAACCCATTAGCGTTGTATGGACAGCACATATACTGCAGTAGCAGTTGTGTGTCTTGGCTAAGATAGCCTGACATAGCCTGACCCTCTCCAGGCTGGTTTGAATTCAGTTTTCCTTTTAGTTGCCAACCATGGTTTGTGTTGGGCTTCAAAGAGAATACAAATATTTTTCTTTAAAAATTTATTTTTATACTTTTTTTATTCTTCATCATTTTTTCTTTCTTCACCACCTCCTTTAATCTAAATATATAAAACTGAACTATTTTATCAACAAGATGTAGAATTTTGGTGGTGACAAGTTTTAAATTTTTTGCTCTATTTTTACATTTGTCTGTCTTTTCAGCAGACCTGATAGAAATATTGTTATGAAAAAAACAAATGAAAACGTTTTGATAATATTTCTTTTCCCATCAACCTGTTTGAAATAATCTTTTTTGTTTTGTTCCTCCAAAAGCCATCCAAGATGTTGCCAAAAACCATTTGTGTCCTGTACATGTCTTTCAAATGCTGGAAAGCTTGCTTCTCATCCCTGCCCGTGACCTGCTCGTGTATGCTGACTGTGTTGTCTCAGCTTTACCTCACAGCCTCAGTTCAATGATGCCACGAAAAGTCCAGGACCTTGTCAAGAAAATCTGGTTTCGCCTCCATGGACTTATGCCACGAAGGTTTTAGTTCATTATTGTTTTTCACTTTAAATATTGAGCTAAAGCAACAATAATTATTATTCTGCTTGTTTGTATGTACAATCATTATACATTTCTACTTAGGATCAGAGTATAGTATCTGGTTGATCTCCAGCCCTTGTAGTCTTATTAATATTATGCAAGTGAATCACCGAAAATTTGGTTGGTGGGGGGAGGTAATGAGAGGTTGAACACCTACCTGATTTTTGGGCCCTATTTGCCCTATTTCACGATATATACCATAGGTAATGTCTCAGAAAAAAACTCAAAAAAATTATACTAATTTATGCCAATGATTCCATAAGAAATTTCGGGTAATTTGCTTTTTAAGCCCCACACTAAATATCTAATAAAAATTTCCCGAACAGTTTTATTTTTTTATTCTAAATTTACATGCCTAATTCGAAAATAACAAAGAAATTTTTATAAAATCTACTGTTTTATTATTGGCACTGTTTGCATCAGTATGTACACAATAATCAAGACAAGTGAATGTCTATCCTGCAGTAAATATATGCAAACAATGCCAGTAATGGCTGCCGTGATGCGAATGAGTCCAAACTTTTATTATCAAAACTCCAAAAAAGTAGATTTTATCAAAATTTCTTTGTTATTTTCGAATTAAGCATGTAAATTTACACATAAATATAACTATTTAGGAAATTTTTATTAGATAATTAGCGCAGAGCTTAAAAAGCAAATTACCCGAAAGTTCAATTTATTTCAGTGTTTTACAACAGATTTTTTATGCAATAAATTTTAACCATTCTCAAAAAGTACTTCCTCTTACAATACATTATAACAATGGACTACTGTATCAAATGCAGTTTTTCCTTTACTGTGTACACTTTATGTTTAGACATTTTGTATTACTACTAGGGGTCGCAATTGCCAGGGAATTCCCAATTGCGACCCCTAATTAATATGTGTTATTTATATTTGTTTATTTATGAGAGATTCTTGATGTCTACTGTTGGACAGTCCAATTGAACATGATCAACCAGAGAAAAGTAAAGTATTCCTATTGATACGCCATCTGTGGTATCCGATTGCAGTGATTGAATTCCTGTTAATTAGTCTGATATTATAGGAACTCTTTGATTGCGCATGAAATAGAAATATAAAGTAATTATGTGTAATTATTACCAATACAATTGGATTAAGTGTGGAACAGCCAAGGTGTTAAAATTTTGCAAAATTTGGGCTGTTTGATCATCAAAATCAAGGTAAAACATGTGAAAAAGGGGCCTAATTAGTAAAACAAATTAGGACCCATCTGATCACTGTTTGTTCTATCATGAAGAAGATAGCCCAGAAATTGGCAAAATAGGGTGGAATTTCTAAAAAAAAAAAAGTGAGCGATGTTGAGGGTACGAGAGCAAAATCTTTGGGTTCACCACCCACTCATGTTACACCAGGTACCACGGTAAAATGGTTCGCCTAATAGTGGTGGACTACTGTAACTGTCGTAATAAATTAGGGGTGGGAGCAGGTGAAGGAGGAAAGAAAGCAAAAGAAAATATGAAGGAAACCAGGTGAAAGGAAAAATTAAATATTTATACACACATGCACACACACAGAGTAAGAATAAAAGCTAAAGCTTAAAATATAAAATAAACTGAGGCCCCCAATCCCAAAGTTGACAGAGCTTGAATATAACAATATCAATTCAATAATATCAAAATCTGCCTGGTGATTGTTGTTACAGAAAATTCTGGTTTGCAGATTTTGATATTGAATTGATAATAATATTATATACATAATGATAAAGATATACTTTCATAGTATGCTATGTTTATGACTAAAAATGCTCAGTATTAGAAATAGAGCATATGTAAGTATAAAATATAAAAGTGAACACTGAGGTCAACACCAAGTAGGGGCAATCTGTTTCATGTTTGAATGTAGTCTTCAGGATGACCTGAAGTTTGCATTGAAGCATGAAACATATTGTCCCTGTTTGTTGTTGACCTCAGTGTTCACTTTTATATATGTAAGTATCACATGGAATGGACAAAGTCCAACAATTATGAAAATTTCTCAGACGTTCAGGCCGGTAAATGTTTAATACTGTTTATTATAAACAGAGCATTTACTTAAATATTTGTATCTATAAAAAGAATGTATAAACATAAAAATGTCTTAAAATATGTAAGTATGTGTGTGAATGAGAGATAACTTATTTCTTTCTATAATATATTTAGCTTAGTCTTAATTTGTGGATTTTTACCTCTGCAAAACAAACCCTTGGTATGATGATGATGATGAACTACATCCAGCAGCAAGGCCTCTGATCGGGAGATTGGAGGTTTTGAGGAGCATGGAACAGCCTCTTAATTGCCGTTGTTCCCAGGTTCACCCTGACCTGGAGTAGTAGCACAGATGGGCAGATAGTGAATTTGCAATCAAAATATATGTAGTTGAAGGCATACAATTGCGTTCAAAATATATGTTGTGTCTCCTTGAGGTGGTGTAATTGTTAGCAAGCTTGTCTCACTAGAACAGTTACAACTGAGTAGTGAGTTTGATCCTCACGGGTGCCCTCTACTTATAGCCCTGTGCCACACCTAAGCTACGCTTGGAAAATCACCATATGTAGTTGAAGGCATACAATTGCATTCAATTTATTTAGATTTTGTCATTAAATAAACCATAGTGGTTGATATGTCACTAAACAGAAACAACCAACCAATCTCTGCAAAACTCTTGGTCAGAAGAGAAGTAATTGAACTTTTTATTTATCTATTCACCATTAATGCTCTATTTCATAGTATTGAGCACTTCATTTACAAATTCTGCTCGCCATAAATGTGTTATCATCCAGGAATTTACTAGTTGATTTTTTTTGTTTTTTTTGAGATAAACAATCTTTGTTATTATTAATTACTAGCAGTAGAGCCCGGTGTTGCCCGAGGATATAACAGTAAGAGATAGATCAAGTATCCACCATCATAAAGACTGAAAAATAAAATTGACAAAGATTATTGTTTAAGGTTGATGGACACGCATGTCTTAATTAGTTTTTTTTTTTTTTTTTGAATTGGTCAAACCCAAATTCAACAAAAACATTGTTTACAATCGTTATGAGTCTATCGATTGGTGAATAGAATTTTATTATAAACAATTGTCTTGTAAATGGAATTTTTAAAGCATTCTGAATGTAAAAATAAAGAAAAAAGTGTGCAAGACAATAAGAAATACTACATGCCAAAAAAAATAAGTGAGGTTTTGTTGAAATCGGTTGAAAAATGTAGGTAGCCTTTCTGTAATCTTTTAGTTTTACAATTTATGATTTTTACTTATTGAATACAGTAAAAAAAATTGCATATTTTGCTTGTGATGATTCATAATTAGAATTCTGATTTGAATATATTTTCCACTCGTTGTTTCTAATACAAAAAATATTAACTTTATTTGGGTTTATTAATTATGATCTAACAAATCTTATTCATTTAGTAGCCTTTCTGTAATAATAATCTTTTTACAATTTATGATTTTACTTATTGAATACAGTAAAAAAATTGGACACCATGTGTATTTAAAGTAGTTTCCTGTTCGGTTATTATTTTTAGTTAGGACTTGTGTATGTTTAGATTTCATTATCTTTCCTAAAGATAAAGAATTTATTCCGATGTTTGTATTCTGTACAATCAGTAGAGATCGTTAGATTATTGTTTAAGGTTGACGGACACGCATGTCTTAATTATTTTTTTTTTTTTTTTTTTTTTTTGAATTGGTCAAACCCAAACTCAAACAAAAACATTGTTTTCAATTGTTATGAGTCTCCCCAATTGAATAGAATTTTATTATAAATAATTGTCTTGTAAATGGAATTTTAAAAGCATTCTGAATGTTAAAATAAAGAAAAAAAGTGTGCAAGAGAATAAGAAAACTACCTACCAAAAAAAAAAAGTGAAGTTTTGTTTTATCGGCTGAAAAATATAGGAAATCCGCTCCCATATTTAAAGGAACCTACACACACACAAACAACCCGATGTGAGTTGTCACCCTTCCATTTTCACGATGTCTCTTAATCGTGTTTTCAAATTGATTTTGTGCAAAAACAATTATATTTTTCCCATTTTTGGCGCTGTTAGAACCACCACAAGGTAATTTTAATATAGTCCTGTGAAGTTTTGTTGAAATCGGTTGAAAAATGTAGGAAATCCGATCCAATATATAAACATTACAGACACACACACACAAAATCTGCATTTTATAATAAGTAAGATATATCATATACAAGGGTTAGATAAAATAATGTGAATATTAGCTTCAACATTTATTTATTAACTAATAAGGTGTTGAACCTCCATTAGCTTCTAATTATTCTAATTACTCTACCTGAAGATAAATAATGACTTAATTAGGTGGAAAAGAAAGGTTGAGGATTAAAGTGCTGAGCAGTTATGTTTTATGTTGGTTTGATGTTTACAAATACCCAGAAATACCGAGATTGAAAAAAAATTACTATTTTTGCAAGCTATTCACATTATTTTGTCTAATCCCTGTGTGTATGTATGTGTATATATATATATATATGAGAGAGAGCTTATTACTATTCTGTATATGAGGGTGGATCAAAAATCTATAGTCTGATTAAGATTAATCAGTCACTAGTTATTTAAAATTTTCATTGTATATTGATTGACCAACGGGATTAATATTCATCACTGAAATTGACAAGTTAGAAGATTATGTTGAAAAAACTTGGCATGTAAAGGATTTTTTACTGTCATTAGACTAAAGATTTATTGATTTATCTACTGTAAAAATAATTCTGATGTTTGATTAGATTTTGGAAAGTGGGTCAGATTTTCAGCTGTCCTTCATATATAAAAAGTGTGGACATAGAAACCAGTGCTGCTTGAGAAGTGTTCATTTTACGCCCTAAGTTATCATCAGTCAATATGAAATGTTTACTCTTTATATCTACAATCTATCTCTGATACTGACCACTCTTCCCCATTTAAATAGAGCAAATTTAAAAAAAAGAAGATTATATATAAAGCCAAGAATTTTTGATTATTTACTCAACAATTTGTTTCATGCTGCATGGTTTTCTAAGTAAGCATTTGTTTCTTTTCTGAACACTCTCAGCTTCTGTAGTTCTTTTTTATGTATTTCAAAAGGAATGCATCAACATGCAAACTGTTTAAAATAATTTAATTCCTTTTTTTTTTCTTGAATTCTATGTTTTCAGCTTCTCCTTCATACATAAATTGCAATTTCTGCCTTTTTATTTTCATTATCTTTTTCATATACTGCATACAGTATATTTCTTATTACATAGAATATACAATATGTTTTTAATTATATGCCATATATATTTTATCATGTACAGCATGCAATATACTTCTCATTACATACAACATGCAATATACTTTTTATTACATACTCTTGTGCAATATACTTCTCATAATGTATCCAGTGCAGTATACGTCTCATCATGTACCCCATGCAATATACTTCTCATTACGTACCCAGTGCAATATACTTCTCATTACGTACCCAGTGCAATATACTTCTCATTACGTACCCGGTGCAATATACTTCTCATTACGTACCCGGTGCAATATACTTCTCATTACGTACCCGGTGCAATATACTTCTCATTACGTACCCGGTACAATATACTTCTCATTACATACCCGGTACAATATACTTCTCATTACGTACCCGGTGCAATATACTTCTCATTACATACCCTGTACAATGTACTTCTCATTACGTACCCATGCAATACACTGACTGCAGCTCTGCAGAGGGGTATAACCCCTCCAATGAGGCCACCTGTTTGCCATGGGTAGTGACCCGTAATATCCGGGGATAGGATCCTGGTGGTTGTGAGCTTCAGGAGTCAGGTTAGATACTTTTGATTCCCAACACACCACTTTGGCCCTTACTTGGACTAGATGGGTGGATGGAGAGACCTGATACAATCAATCAGCTGGTCATGCCAAGCCTAGTGCCAATAACTATATCAATTTATGGAGTATTTTATAACTAAATACAATACCCCCAAGATACATTGGGATAAAATACCATCTCTATCCAATTTATAAACGTTAGAAGGCGATGACTGAGGGTCAGTCGGTTCAAAGAGATCTAGATTTAGACATAGCTGTGAATATGCCAGTTTGTGCATTTAAGATTTAGGAAGTGCAACAAACTGCTTAACGGGTGCTCAGAGTCTATCTTGAATATAAGTATAATGATTTGTGTAGCTCTGACCTGTCAAAGAAACTGGGTTTCCCCTGTGACACATCCCAATGTTGGGCTCCAAGGTTATGAATAACCAAAATAAAAAAAAAAAAAAAAATCAAAAGATATCTTTCAGACTCTGATTCTGAAAAAGCATTAAGTACTGAATTTCCAAGATTTCTAGATAAAACTCCTAGCAAAACTTTCCCCTTTCTTGATTGAAAAAGTGCTATCCAGTAAGAAATTGAGAAACAGCAATTTGCTTGTAGAGGTGGAAAATAGAAAACATACTGAAAGTTTCTTCTCATCTTTTTCTTTGGTACAATTACTAAGTTTAACAGTGTTTAGTACCAAACCGAATTAGAGAGGGAATGTGAATAAGAAGATTGTTATGTGAATCTTTTGAGTGGGGAGGGCCTGCTTGCTAATGCAATCAGCACTTAAAATTCTGGCTTCTCTTTCAGACACAAGTTCTCATTGTACCTTTGTCTTTTCTCCTTGTCCAGATTACGTCTGATGACAGTGAATGCTTTACGCATTAATCAATGTGGAGTAAGATCTGCTGTTCCATTGTTAGAGAATGATATTACAGTTGACCCTCTTGTGGTGTTGCAATGTGATAATCGAGTTTTCAGGTGAGTATCTGACCAATCTATATTATAAATGAAGAGCTGAGTCTCTGTCACACTCTGTCTGCACATAACTTTGCGTATATGTTTGTAATGTATAAAAGGTGCGATGAATAAATTGTCATCTAAGTTATGCAAAAATGAAAATAACACTGACATCTCATTGTAACAGATATATTTACCAAAATTACACAAAAATATCTTGAAATATTAAAGAGTAAATTTATTCAATAAAATCACCATTGGTTTCAACCACAGTCTCAAGACAACTTCAGAATCTTCTGCAACTCTTCAGGACAGTCTCCTTGTTTAAGTTGATGAATGCTGCCACAATCATTGCCTTCAGTTTATCTTTGGTGTTACAAGGAGTTTTCTTGGTCTCTTGCTCAACTGCACCCCACAGATAATGATCAAGGGAGTTGCAGTCTGGGAAGTTAGGTGTTCAAATGTAAGGGGTAATATGGTTGCAGAAATTGTCTGACAGCCATAACTGATTTTTTTCTACTTGTGTGGCATGGTGCAGAATCCTGTTGCCAGACATAGGATCTTCCAGCAGCCACCCTTTTGACCCAGGGCAGCACTACCTTCTCAAGGCCCTTGATGTAGTCCTCTGTGTTGTTTCTGAAGCCCTCACCAACAAATTTGGGAGTTCTTTTCTTATCAGAACAATCACTAAGTTTTCCAAGCTACCATACTTTCATAATCACCATTAGACTCATCCAACTCTTTCCAAATCCTCTGTGTTGTCCTCGTATTGACACCCAAACACTTTCTAATGTTTGTATTAGAGCTTCTGTCATGAATGCCCATCAGTACAGTATGCTGTTTTCAAACTTCTGGCAGAGTGAATTACATCATGGTGCTCTTTTTCTCAGACGGTGCCCAACTGACCCTACTATACTGTGCAGTTGACAAAATCAAAAACAAACAATATGCATACACAAAATTAAAAATATAAAATGGCAACAGTTTACCCATCTCACCCTGTATGTGTGAATGACTTATGTCTGCTTGTGCCATTTAATGCACACACTGACACGCACATAAATACATTATTTGAAAAAAAAAAATCTTCAGCAGCTTCATGCCTGCCAAACTGTCTTTGTTTACATGTGTGAATAATGATGAAATATGTAAACCTTTTCCACTTTGTCATTGATTTTCCCTAAAACTTTCTAGTTATCAGTCTATTCATAACTATTTCAATATGTTCCTATCTACCATATATCTATATTAGTCTATTTATATCTATCTATTGCTACCTAGAATCTGACAACATAGAGATGGCTACAAAAGTAAATGTCCACTTTATTACTTACTAGCAGTAGAGCCCAGCGTTGCCCGGGGATGTAACAGTAAGAGATACATCAAGTATCGACCATCACTGAAAAAGACTGAAAAATAAAATTGACAAAGATTATTGTTTAAGGATGATGGACACACATGTCTTAATTAGGTTTTTTTTTTTTTTTTATAAATTGGTCAAACTCAAAAAAACATTGTTTTCAATCGTTATGAGTCTATCGATTGAATAGAATTTTATTATAAACAATTGTCTTGTAAATGGAATTTTTAAAGCATTCTGAATGTAAAAATAAAGAAAAAAGTGTGCAAGACAATAAGAAACACTACCTGCCAAAAAAAAGTGAAGTTTTGTTGAAATCGGTTGAAAAATGTAGGAAATCTGATCCCATATATAAACGAACACACACACACACACACACACACACACAAACAACCTGGGTTTTATAAGTATATCTCGATATGAGTTGTCCCCCTTTCATTCTGGTGACAGAATCGTGTTTTATCGTTTTTTCAAATTGATTTCATGCAAAAATAATTGTTTTTCCAATTTTTGGCGCTGTCAGAACCACCGCAAGGTAATTTTACACAGTCCTGCGAAGTTTTGTTGAAATCGGTTAAAAAAATGTAGGAAATCCGATCCAATATATAAACGTACAGACACACACACACAATCTGCGTTTTATAATAAGTAAGATGATGATAAAGTGAATTGAGGTAAATTTTTAAAAAGAAAATTATTGTCCACAAATGTGAATTCAAATAAAAATAGTACAATTAACTACTTGACAAAAAAAAAAAAACATTAAAATTATTAAACCTGAAAAAAAATTCTAAAATTTAATTGAACTTTTTAGAAATTATTCAGTAATAAATTTTGTTTAAAGTTTTGTAGAAATATTTTTAGGTCTGTCATTAATTTATACATATGTACACACAAATGCACATATACATGTAATTTGAATGAAATTAAATTGAACATTCAAGTTATGAGGTCTAATTTTTTTTTCTGCCTGGTAACAGGAAAATGGTATAAGCTGGCCTTTGAAGCTATTTTTATGACACCTGTATTTATACTGAATATATTTTCTAATAAATGTGTTTTAAATGGACAAGTAATTTTTTACTTGCAGTGATAGAGCTTTAATATCCATATGTCACTGTTTCTAGCTTTTAATATCTGTCTATTCATATCTATTTCAATATAATGAAATGTATTTTAAATGGACAAACAATTTAGATTTGAAATTTGATCATGGGTACAAAACTAGTGATATTGACAAAGTCTTGTCTGAATAAGATTTAAATGTTCTCCTTTTAAGACAACTTCAGGGACTTTATTCAGTAAAGGATAGTGCAGGAAAGTAAGAAGAAAGGTCTAAAGATCAATTGTAAGACAGAATGCATGGTTGTCAGCATGCAAATTACAAATTGGAGATACTGAAATCAAACAGGTGCAACAATTTAAATATCTGGGAAGTTAGGTGCATTCGGATAGCGAAAGATGCCTTTCAAAAGCTAAGTAAAATATTAATAAATGGAAAAATTTTGTTAAAAAATATTACTGAACTATAATGTAATATCAGTCCTATTTAGCAGTGAATACAAGACAATCTCCTCATAGATGAAGAAGAGACTTGAAGCAACAGAAATTTGGTTCTACAGAATGATGCTGAGAATACCATGGACCAAACATGTGAGCAATAACAAGATTTTAGATAATATGGACACTTATACTAAATATCAGAAAGAGGCAGTTGAAATTTCTAGGATGCATAGTGAGGAAAGAGTGCTTGGAAAATTTGATACTCACATGACTAATTGTAGGTAAGAGGGACAGGAAAACAATGCATAACCTACCTAACAAATTTGAGTAAATAGATGGTGAAACAAGGTTTAGGAGAGATAATAAAAAAACAGAATTTATTAAGAGCTACAAAGGACAGGAAATTGTAAAAAGCTATGATCACCAATGTCCTGAAGTGACATGACACATAGAAGATCCCAGTTGCTTGTGTTCAGTTGAAAAATAACAAAATTTGAAATCTACTCACCAAGAAAGAAGTCAATTGATTATGTTATTAGCTCTTTTTCATGTTCTAATAGCAAAGGACCCAATGAAAAATCCTCCGTAAACATACTGAATACATACTGCTGTTTCCTTCTTTGCTTTAACATACATGTATCCCTGCCATACAATTGGCTTTGCACCCCTGACATGTACCTTTGCCATCTACCTTGCCCAACATGTACCACTGCCTCTGTTATCTGCTTTACTTGATGTGTACAGCTCCTTCACCATTGGTCTTACCTGTTGTATAATACTACCCCCATAATCTGCCTTGCCAAACATGTACTACTGCCTCTGTTATGTGCCTTTCTTGATGTGTACAGCTCCCTCACCATTGGTCTTACCTGTTGTATAATACTACCCCCATAATCTACCTTGCCCAACATGTGCCACTGCTCCACTGTCTAACCTAGTGGTTCTAGACCCATGGACCACTGTTTTTGGTGGACCCCATAACCATTCAATAAAAAAAAGAAGCTTATTTTATTTTTTTTATTAATAGATAAGTTGAGGAATTTTATTATAGAAATAGTAAATGTCTATGCTTTATTTTGAAGTAAAACTAATTTAATGATAAACTTGTATTTAACAACTAAATTCTATGGAACTTTTATGTACACTAGTAAAATAATAATAAACTATTTTAAAATTTTTTACAATCAAAATCAGAGTAAAAGGGATGCTAAATTACATCACTTGATCTTGTTTTCTGCTAATTTTAGGGTTGTTTTTCTATTTTTAGTATTTTAATACTATAGTGTAACCCGGATATAAGAGAGTTGTCGGGACCGGAGAAGAAGTCTCTTATATCCGGGTTTCTCTTATATCCGAGTTTGATCTAATTTATATACATTAACACAGGCTCTAATTTGGAACCAGAGAAAATCTCTCTTATATCCGGGTTACAATGTATAAGAATTCCAATTCTCAGTTGTAACAAATATTCCGAAGTGTAATTGCTCTATGGACCACTAATTTGCTATGTTTTGTTACATGGACCCTGGTTGAAAACCACTGGTCTAACTCACTGCTTCTGTCATCTGCCTTGTTTGAGGTTACATCACTGCCTCTGCGTTGGTCTTACTTGATGTATAACACTACCCCCACAATCTGCCTTACCCAACATGTACCATTGCTCCACTAACCCAGTATGTACCACTGCCACTATTATTTGCCTTGTTTAATGTGCATCACCACCTCCCTGTTGGTCTTACCTGATGTTTACTGCTACCCCACCATCCACCTTACTTAAGGCTTACTGCTGCTCTTATCGCCTTTGACCAACGTTTACCTTTTTTTTTCCCCCACCCATCTGCTCAGCCCAACGCATAATACACTTTTCTCATAATTCAATTTTCTTGAGTACATATCTGACAATCCCAAATTGTTTCACTGCCACCTGCTGCCAACATAACTGTAACTAATATTTTCTAAACTTTGTCTAGTCTGACACAAGGTCATAAGAGTGAGATATATGATATGAGGATTGAACTTACAATGGCCATAATGATTTACAAGACTAGTTTACTTACCAAGACAACCAACAAGAAACTGATAGTGCATTTTTTTTAATCTCTGTTGAAGCTATAACTTATTTTACAAATTGAGGAATACTTATTAAAGTGTCTTTTTTTTTTTTTTTTTTTTTTTTAATGTCTTTTTTTTCCATAGATGTCCCCCAATCCTGGAGATAGTGTTGCGTGTTTTGGAAGCTTACATCCAAGCCTGTCGAGTGTTTTTGTCCACTCATATGGCCTCATACCCAGTATTGGAGAGCTTGGGTCTACCCCAACCCCCAGAACAAGAGAAAAAAGATAAAGACAAAGGAATTGAGAAGAGTTCTGTAAGTCAAGAACAGGAACGACGGGAACTGAAACATGCTTTGACTGCTGCACAAGAAAGTGCAGTTGTACAAATTCTTCTGGAATGCTGTCTCCGTCAGCAATCAGAAATGGTAAGGACTTTTTATTGGGGAGGGGAGAGGATTAAAGTAAACCTTACTGGAAGAATAAGGTTATTATATGTATCACATAAATGCAGTGTTATTTTTTAAAATTACAAATAAAAGAAAGGGATTATCAATGGTCAGGAATTAAAGCAAGCATTACTTGAAGAATAAGGTGATTATATGTATAATGTAAATGTATTGCCAATGATTTTACTATAGAACTGCATTGTAAATAAAAAAAGAAAGAGGATTGTGGTCATGCATTAATGTAAGTATTATTGGCAAATAGAACGGGCCTATTTTATGTATTCTTTTTTTTCATTTCAGAAAGAAGCAAGTCTACTAACCAATTTGCGAGAGGTTCAATGTCTCATTTGCAGCTTTTTGCATCAAATGTACATTGCAGATCCAAACCTTGCAAAACTGGTGCACTTTCAGGTAAGACAAGTAAACAATAATTTTTTTAAAATTTCTGACATACAATATCAATAATTTGAAATCTGGTTTCATAATGAATTGAATTCCAAGTTTTTTTTTTTTTTTTTTTTTTGGTGCTTCAGGACTTGTCACAAAAATTACTGCTTTAAGATGTCACTATCTTTCAAGAGAGAAAAAAAAACCAAGAATATCTAGGCTGGTAGCAAGTACCGCTCCCAAGAAGCAGTTAACAAAAAGTTAAATGTAAACAGTCTAGGTTTTATAGTATTGAACCTGGAAAGAAAAACATGAGAGAAAGTTTGATTGCATTTAATGAATTAAATGTGGAAAAAGAATTAAAATTGGGTTAAGAATTTCTTAAATTGAATATAAATTTTGAGATAATTTAGTAAGACCAGGTATGACCCTTCAACCATCCACTACACTCACCAAGTCAGTTAAAAATGATAACATGTAATAAATTACTTACTCGGTCAAAATCAAAAATTCTCTAAAAATTCTTGAAATTAGTTGTTTACTTACTATCAGATAAGCTGAATAATTTCAGAAAATCTTTCTGGAAAACTTGTCTAAACCTGAACAATAAGCCATGTAATTTTTTCACATAAAGATATATTTACCATGGGTCTAATAGAATAGTTTTCAAGAAATAGGTTATTAAATTCAATCAAGTGGCTAGCTGCTCTTGTACTTTCCAGAACAAAAGATGAATGCTAATTAATGGTCAAATTGTAACAATACATACCAATATATTGATGGCAAACTGAAATGTGTGGGTTGTCTTTTAGTTCTGCTAAGGCTGTCAGAAGAGGCACATGAGAAAACTGAGAGGGCCACAAGAAAAGGTCACCAGATTATTACACCAACCTTTTGAAAAATTGGAGAATGAGCAGACAGATACCTATGAATTTTTCTCTTGTTCAAACTACAACATTAGAATTGGAGAACAGAAAATGCTAATTTCTATCTGAATTTCTGGGATGAGAAGTTACCATTATTTACATTTAGAGTATTGTCTTCATCTTTGTTGTCACAACATTTTGGCCATTGTGCCTTCCAGCCTACATCAGCTGTATGTCAATTTGGGTAACCTAGAGAAAATTCTGAACTGAACCTTTTATTAGACTTATGTTTATGATACTTATTATTGTAGACTGTTCCTGTTTTATTGTCCATGTTCAGAGATATCTTGTCTAATACTTATTTTTTAGTACTACTCCGTTATTGCTCTGCCCAGTTTCCACTGAGTCTAAGTATACACTGCCTAGCCCAGCATTCATTGGCAGGCAGGTTATTTTTAAGGCTAGTTTTAGAACAATAGCCTAGTAGATTAAAGCACTAATTTGTGAATTTGATGACATAGTAACTGTGAGTTCAATCCCTGAGGAAGATGCTAATTTTTAAGACCTCCAACAGCTAAAGTAGTCAAGTTTTGTGAAAATCATGTTGTGATATTCTAGCTTTTCTCTTTATTCCAAGACTTTGATCAATCTTGTGAATCTGTCAACTTTAGGCTGTTGTATGAAACTTTCCAAACCCGAGCTTAAGGCTTCAGATCTAATTTAATGACAGCATGGGTTGAGAAGTTTCTTGTCTTGAACCATGCAATAACAATAACAATAACCTGGGTAACAGCTAATGATCACAAACATAGTGTTACATTTATGCCAGAAATGAAAAGCAAAAGATAAAATGATAAAAGCAACAAAGAGACATGCACATCAAACCATTACCATGGATAGTTATACATATCGTATCATGATCAGTTCTTGGGCACTTCAATGTGGTGTAATGGTTAGCATACTTGTCTCATTAGAGCAATCATAATGATTTCGATCCTCACTGAGTGCCTCATATTTTGGATCTTGGGCTTCATCTAAGTTATGCCTAGAAAACCACCATAACCAGGAGCTCTTGATTTTGAGGGCACCACAGAAAGATACAGATCCTGTAGTGCTATATTTAGTGTCCAGAACAATGTGTTGAGCCCCCAGTATGAGGTCACATTTGAGCACTGATGTGTAGATGTTTTGTAAATGTCAACTGTATCTCTTGTCTTAATGGTTATGGTCTTGATGTAGCAATGGGCACATTGGAACAGACAATGCCTGCAGCTGTTTTACAAACTTTTAGACAGATGAAACATGTGGTTGAAAATCAATTGCCACATGTTTCCGTGAGTGGACAGCAAGGCCTCCTTTACTGCGTGTGGCAATGCCTGGTTAGTACTTAGATGGGTGACCATTTGGTCACCTGTAAACTTGAATGTGCAGGTGATATAGTGGATAATGGCCCAGAATTGGAAATCAAGAGAGCAGAGTTTTAATCAAAAAGATAGATTGAATTTCAGCTATATCAGACAACAGACTGATTAATCCACTTTTGTATATTTCCAGTCTATTCTAAAGGAGAATAAAAAGTCTGTGAAAATTTGAATTCAAACATTGACATTTATAAATAAAAAGAAACTTTTTCTAATTTCAGGGCTACCCAAGTGAACTGTTACCTGTTACTGTAGCAGGAATTCCTTCTATGCATATTTGCCTTGACTTTATTCCTGAGCTGCTGAGTCAACCCCAAATGGAAAAACAGGTACAGTACATTTGGTCATACTTCATTTTTTAATCATATCATTAATATACAGTGTCTGTTCAAAATCTATACTATTTTGGTTGGTAGCAATTATAGTTACTAGTTAAACACTTTCATTATACAGAATCAATGTTGCAATAGAATTTAGAAAAAAAAAATTAAATGATGCGTTATTTGAAGTATTCCAAATGTTTAAAAAAAAAAAAATGAGAGAATAACATTTACGGTTATCATGCCCTTTCACTATTATAAATGAGCTTGGCCATTACAAACATATACAAATTGATAGATGATTAGAACATCAGGCATGATCTATTTTTAGATCTTATTAGAGCCCTGGGTATGAGGATAAACTACAAAGCTTCTGATTGAGAAATTGAAGGTTTTGAGGAGTGTGGAACCACCTCTTAATTGCTGTTGTTCCCAGGTTAATCCTGACCTGAGGTGGTAACACCTGTTAAGGTTCTAGCTATGGACAACTAGTGACCTTGCCCCCAAACAAAACACTATGAAAGTATAAAAATACCAGCAATACATTTTTATATAAAATTACCAACAATACATATTTATAGTAAAATTATCAATAATAGATTTTATCTGTAGTTGTAGTCATATAAGTGTGTTCAAAATAATTTTAGTTGAAGCCATAAAATTGTGTTCAAAATATTTAGATTTTGGCATTAAATAACCCATATGCTACTAAACAAAATCAACCAACATAAAAGAACTCTTTCATGACGTTAATCCATATAATATCCTACAATTTCTTAAAGAAATCAAACTGTATTCCAAAATATAACATCAACAAAACTACAACATAAAACATACATATCACTGACTCTAGTAATTCTATGCACAAAAGCTGAGTATCATCTGCCATGTATTCACTTGTGAAAGCAGAATAAATATATCATATTTTTATTATTTGAAAGCTAACAAGAAAATGAAATTTTGGCATTAAATTATCCATAAGGAGTTGATATGTCATTAAACAAATCAAATCTTATTAGAGATCAGTTCTTATACAAAGAAAGTAAATTATTAAAGATTCTTGTCCTGGAGCTTGTTAACCAAACTTAACATTGTGTTCCAGCCACTTATTGCATTCAACAAAGATTGCCTAAAGATTAATTATACAAGGGTAGAAACACAAACTGCAGTTGGAGACAATCTTCTTAGCACAACTAATCAACAAAGTAAGCCTTCTATACTTCGAAGCTGATAAACTGTGGAAACACTTTCTTTTTCTATAGTCAAAGAACATTGTACAAGAGATAATTCATGTTTATTACATTTTTCAGTTGGGTTTTGTTTATGTATTTAAATTATATGCTGTTATAGCAGTGGTTTCCCAACTTTTTGTCTGGGTTGCATTTTCGGAATAAAAATTTGTTTGTGCATCACCAAATTTTATGTGATTAAAAGCACATTTAAAAATAAAAAAACCAAAAAAACAGAGTTAAAGAGAGAGATAACTGTGGATTTGAAGTCAGAACATTATCATTGATAACTCTCTCCTCCAATTTGGGGACTCTAGTTACTATATTCTTAATACTTGATATAATGCAAAAATATCAGAATGATAAAATCAATCAATAATTATTTATAACTATTTCTACTAGGACTCATGCATGCAATTACAAGTAATTCATAATAATATTTTAAATTTTAAATTTATATTTATTTTTGGCATATGAATTTTTTGAAATTGTTTCTAGATCTTTGATTGTCATTTAATCATTCCGCCTCACCTGTTATCCTCTTCTACTGCACCATTTGGGAACCACTGTATTATAGTACCATTCAAGCAAAAACCATAGCTCCTATGATACTTGGGACAGCCACATAAAAAGGGAAGAAATGGTTTTATCTCAATCTCAAATGTTTGATGAACCAGTATATATAGTTCCTTTTGAAGTTCAGTCTTCTAAGTGACATCTGCTTTGATGTAAATCCACTAGGCTATTGACCTAAACCTTGAACTTGGAGCTTGAAACATATTGTACTGATGATGCAGCAGGTGCTGCTGTCACACTTAACTGCCTTTGCTGCTTTATCTCTTTTCTTACCGCTCATGCACAAACCTAATAAAAAAAAAATCTTTTTCTATATTTTCATTTGGGAATGTAAAGTTTTTCTAATTGGGAATGTTTCTCCATATTAATTTTAATTTTGAAAAAAAGAAATTTTTTTTAAATTTAAGAGGATCAATGGAAGTTGAAAAAAAAAAAACTAGAGTAAAATACTGGAAAATCTGAAAGGAACCAGATAATCCTTCTTGATATTTAGTTAGCTTAATGCAAGGCCAAAAATTATGGAAATTCAGCATGTGAAGATTATGGTGCATTAGTCTCCCAAATGGGGAAGGGCTAGTCTGCCTTGAAAATCAGCATTCAGACCACTACTTTTTACCTGTGATCCAACACAGATATCTGGAAATATACAACTCTCATGGCAACAAGATATATTACCAGCCTCAATTGTTCTTAAAAGCTCTTTCAATTTAATTTTTCAAAAAAGCCATCCAATGGTTCAGGAGATTTAAACCTGTTTTAAATTTTTATTTTAGTGACTGTTCTCAAATTTAAGCCCCCAATTTGTATGGATGCACATACTCTTAAAATATGACACCTTTGTTTTATTCTTTGTTCATTACAGATGTTTGCTGTTGAATTGGCCAGTTATCTGTGTCTGCAGTATGCCCTCCCAAAAGCCCTAAATATTGCCCGCCTTGTCATCAATGTCATGTTCACCTTATCATCTGGTAAATATACAGTTTTGTTTTTAATACAAAATAGTGCATGAAAAATAATATTAAGCCATATTTGCCTGGCATATGTTTAAACTGACACCTTTTTTTTTAATTTTTTTATTGTAACTATTTTGCTTAAAGTTCATATTTTCTAAATTTCACTGCAATTTTCACTTTCCAAAATTATAGTTTAGATTATATTAAGAGAATTTGTTTTTTATGAATGAAACTTCTCTGAGTTCTGGATCATTGATTTGGTCAGATAACCTTACAATGTCTTTCACCTGGATATTTGTATTCATTGGTTGGTACCAAAATTAAGCTCTGCAAAGTTAGTAGTTGCTGAAATCTGCTTCAGAGCTGTTTGTTTACTACCATTCGCTGACCTGACAGGTAAACTATACCACAAAAAACCAGCAACTCCCGACTAAAGTTATTTTGAAGTATTTCTAACTTCTTGCCTTTTATGTTTTTATTCTTTTAGCCACTGATGATAATCATTAAAATTATAATAAAACCTTTTCTTTCTTTTTTTTGTTTACTATATAACTTAGTTGGTCTTCTGTTGGTCTCCTTACTTCTCTTTATCTTATTTCTTTTGTTGCACAAGTGACAATATTAGAAAAGAAAGTATCAGTTTTTGAGGATATGGGTTTAATGTTCTTAATTACAAAAATAGTGGTTTTTTTTTGGGGGGGTGCTCTCAATTATAAGATTTTGCTAGTAAAATCAGTAAAAGTATATTTTTCAAGACATTTAGTATTTTTTGTAAATTTTCAGTGAGAAACATTTGTAGTATTGGGTGTCCACAAAAGTTTCCGGAAAACATCTGGTTTTCAATTATGTCTCCAGTTTAATATGGGTTTAATGTTCTTAATTACAAAAATAGTGGGTTTTTTTTTGGGGGGGTGCTCTCAATTATAAGATTTTGCTAGTAAAATCAGTAAAAGTATATTTTTCAAGACATTTAGTATTTTTTGTAAATTTTCAATGAGAAACATTTGTAGTATTGGGTGTCCACAAAAGTTTCCGGAAAACATCTGGTTTTCAATTATGTCTCCAGTTTTTGTGTCTATCACTTGTAAAGTTTCCAACTTTATCCATCTAGTTTCACCTGTCTTTTAGAAACTAGTGAATGTATTAAAAAACAGGAAAATTTCATTAGAAACAAAGATATGAATGCTAAACTGCTGTCATATCTAATCTCTTATATGGCAGCGAATGTTGGACAATTTCCTCATAGATGAAGAAGAGACTTGAAGCAAGAGAGTTGTGGATTTACTAATGAATGCTTGAGAATACCATGAACAGAACATGTGAGCCATGAGGAAATTTTAAGGAAAATAGGAACAACAAGGAGACATATTTACAACAAGAGACAGCTGAAATCTCTGAAACATAATGAGGAAAGAACGTTCAGGGAATTTAAATTAAAAAAAGATTTCAAAGATTTGTAATTTCAAAGCTGTTAGAGATCCACAGATAGTATTTGGGAATTCTCAATCACTTTGGTATTGGAACACATGGAACTTTCAGCTTAATCTAAGAGTGTGTCTGGGGGAGTATTAAGCAAATTAATATGGAAGTACTCATAGCCTTGTGGGTAGTGAATTATTTCTCACCTTACAATCCCTTTCCCACAAACAAAATGTTGCTAACCTTTCGCTAATCTATCACTATTTTCATGGCTGATGTTGAGAGTAACTACATTCCTTAGTTCCACCAATTCAAACCTTTACACCATATACACAGGGTAAAAATCATCCTCATTCCCTTCATGTTCCATTTGTAAGGAGGAAGTTCTCAGCTTCTTGCCCAGAACTATTGCTTTGTGGAACAGACCCTCAAAAGGCTGCTTCCCTGATTATTACAATCATAACCTGTGACAAATTAATTTGTGGTTAATGATGATTTGAACGCACATGATTTTCTCATTCCTGTTAGAAGGCAACAAATATGACAGTGAACATGAGGTGGGAGGCGGGGTGTTTCCATTAATTCACCACTTGGTAGAACTTGTCATCAGTAACCAAATGTGATGACATGAATGGTACTGAAATGAGTTTCACCTCTGAACTTGATAAACACAAGATCCTATCCTGGTTGCAACAATAAATCTAGCATCATACATTGGGGAGGATATGCTAATGATATTAGTGATAGTTGTTGATAGTGAAGATCATAGTCAGATTTTATTGGTTTGGATTTCCTTCTCCATGCTTCTTAGGACTTGCTGGATTTCTCTGGCAACATTTCTAAGTCAGAAGATGACTGTATATTTCAGCAACGTTTGACCTTTATGCCCACAAAAAAAAACAGTGTGTCAAAATGATGACTTTTCCCTTAACACCGCTATTATTTTAACTACCTTTAGTCCCCGGCAATGTTTATTGTTTTAAAAAGCGATGATTTGAATTTCATTAAAGCCTAAATATATGAATGTGAATTTATACATTTTCTTTGTTCTTGAGAATTAATAGCAAAAATGATAAACACTATTTATTTATTAGATTGTTTATTTACACTATTATAGTGTTTATTAGACAAAACATTGGCTAATTGCTAATTAATTTGAACTTTATAAAATGGTAAATAATAAAGATTTCTTATAGTTGCTTCACATATTTGAATAATTTAAAATGTTTATAAATTTATGAATAAAAATTGTTGTATTTATTTCTTTATGAATTGGTAAATGATAAATTGCATTGCATTAGTTTCAATAAAATTGTATTAGTTTTTTAGAATGTTGTAAATATAAAATTATTCTTGTAAATATTCTAATTAATAGTGTTTAATATTTTTGTTGTAATTTGTCAAGAACAAAAAAATGTATAAATTCACTTTCATCCTATGTTTAGGTTTTAATACAATTCTAATCATTGCTTTTTAAAATGATAAACATTGCTGAGGAGTAAAAAATAATAGCAGTGTCAAGGAAAAACCATTCATTGACACAGTTTTTTTTTTTTTGTTTTTTTGTTTTTTCAGGCATGATGGTTAAAGATTACTAAATATTTCTATATAAAGATAATAAATTTATTACAGTTATAAACTGACATTGAAATTATGAAGCACAAGTAAATTTCCTGTCTCCAGCCCAATGTACATGATGTAACAGCATCCCTCACCCCAACTTCTGGCAATCAGACATTGTTGAACACCAATATTTTTGTTAGATCTTTTCTCTCTGCTGTCCAAAACTTGATTCTGACCAAATTAATTTTTCTATCCCCCACAAAAACCTGGGACTGTCTTCTGATTGGCCAACTAACCAAATAATGCCTATTGTAAACTTCTATCACTGTTTTTGCTTTGTCCATGAGCACTAATAGAAGCAGTTCTTTGACATTTCTAATCCAACCGAGCTAGCAATTGGAGACCCTATCATAAGTGATGTATTTAAACCAATGTGTTTTTATTTATTTTAATGTAAATTCTCTCTTTTAAGGTAATTGTACCTGTAAAATCCTACTTGTTTCATTGTTTTTGCTTTAGAAAGAATCTATTTCTACTCTGTTATAAATGTCACCAACCATTATCTATCCTACATATCCTTATGCACCTCTTACTCCCCACTTATACGCCCTTACAACAACCTCATTTAGTAACTCTCTACCTTGAGTGGCTCTTGAACCTTGTATTGAGTGAACGATAGTATACAAAAAATAGTTACTTGTGACTGTATAAGTTTTATACAGCATAGTTTTTTAATCTATCTATATTTCTGAGATGAGGTATTGTAACTATTTACACTATTTACATTGTTTGTACTGTTGTCCTCATCTTTATTGCCACATTCACAATGCCCAGTAGATAAAAGCATTGATTGAAGTAATCCAAAAATTACTTGACCCAAAGAGTTGTGAGTTTAATACCTGGCCACATCAGAGGGAGCAAAAAACTTAGAGAGTTACTAAAGGGAATTAACTGAAACTTACATAATCCAAAAAAAACAAGGGTTCAGTTCAAAATTCCAACTTATATCATCAGAAGAAGGTTGGAACGTACAACAGCCAAAACATTGTGAATATGCAATAAAGATCAGGACAATAGTCTGAATGATGTAAATATTGTAATTATTTTGTTTTTGCTTTTTTCATGATGTAAACCAAATACTGGAAAATAATACCGATTAATTCAACTTTTTTTCTTTTTCTTTTTTCTTTCTTTTTTTTTTTTTTTACCTGAATGAGAAAATTTTATGCTTTTTCTCCCAAGTAAGAAAAAGAATGTCTTACAATATTGATCAGCTGACTTAACAACACATAGCTGAAATAAGTACTTCTCTATTGTCATTATTTACGTGCCAGCATAAGTTGGCCATCATGCAATACTGGTCTGATCTGAAGAACATCTGTTTCAAAAATGAGCCATTAATCAATAAAAATTAGAAAAGAATAATAATGACAATGTCTGTTTGTCTGAAAAACACCTTCTCAGCAATTCCCTGTATAAAGTCATGGAGTGATTGCTTAAGGAAGGCATAAAATATTATTTAGAAAGAAACACTCCAAAAAGCCTCTCCTATTAAATTAGATTGCAAACAAAGAAAAAATTGCCTCATTGACATTATCATGTAAATAAGGAAATTTTTTTCTCTGTAACTTTATGTAGTTTTAAGGTAAGACACACACACACATACATACACACACACACACACACACATATATATATATATATATATATATATATATATATATATATAGTGTGTGAAAATATATAGAAAATAGGAAAAAACTTAGGTAAATAATCCAAAGTTCTTTAGTATTTTTGTTATTATTTTTAAAAAAACAGTGCTCGATACAAAAGTAGAGCCTAAATATAATTATTTATTTAAAAATATGATTCCAACGCTACATAAGAGTTCTCATGTTTCAAAACGAGCAGAAAACTTCAATATAATTATTTGAATTAAATTGAATTAAAGTACCAAGCTCTGTTCCATCTTCAAGCGAAATTTTTTTTTGAATAACTAATTCTTAAAATTTACGTGTTTTATAAGCATGTTC